CATGGGGCAGCCTCAGAGCAGAAATCATGAGAAGCGCATTCACACTGAGCTCACATGGACACATCTTCCACAGATGTCCCGACTTTCTGTCAAAGATCCTGGAAAGCACATCACAGTTCAGTCTACACTTATAAAACATGTGGGTAGAAGCTGAGATTTCTGAGGATATATTTTTGAATATATTTAACATTTCCATATTGAAAAGTCTTATACGTCAACATTCTTTAAGAGTAGTTAGTAGACGCATGTGCATTTAAGAAGTACTTGTTTCTGGCCTATGGCAGGCACAGAAAGTAACAGCAAACATTTAGTAACTCAGCAATTTTGTGTCACCCATATTTTGACTGTTTCACGGTTGTACTGGACTACAAGAAGCTGATAAACAGAACTTTTTCACCAATACGGTTTTAAAACCAGTAGTATGATGGGAAATTATATTTGCATTGTTCTATTTCAGTTACTGTTAACCACTGTTACAACAGAATCCCTCCTGTGGAAATACCACAGAGGAGATAAAACTCAGTACTTAAAGATCTTTTCCTTCCTTCTTTCCTTTCTTCCTTTCTTCCTTCCTTCCATTTTTTCTTTCTTTTTCTTTCTTTCTCTTCTTTCTCTCTCTTTCTCTCTCTTTCTTCCTCTTTCTCTCTTTCTTTTCTTTTGTTGGTTGTATGTCTTGAACTCTGGGCCTAGGCACTGTCACTCAGCTCTTCAGCTGCTTTACCACTTGAGCCACAGCGCCACTTCTGGTTTTCTGGTAGATAATTGGCGATAAGAGTGTCATTGACTTTCCTGCCTGGGCTGGCTTTGAACTGTGGTGGCTCATACTGTAATCCTAGCTACTCAGGAGGCTGAGATCTGAGGGTCATAGTTCAAAGATCTGCCTTTTAACTGGTTTATTCTTATGAATTTATCATTGCTTTAGAGTATTGGGAAAAGGAAAGAGTGGACTTATTGTTCCTATTTGTACTTCCTGTTACATGAATATTCCAAAATTTGCATTTATACTGCACTTATGGCAATAGATATGAGATAATTGTTTTTGCTAGCATTCTTATTAGTCTTTTCTAATATGGATATGGATGATGTCATACTTGTATGACAGTTCAGAGCTCTATCTCTCCTTAACCCTTACCCTCATTTCTACAGTTGTCTAGTGGAAATAGTTTCATGTGTGATGAAAAAGCTTTTACATATAGAAAGATGGTACCCAGATGGAATTTTCCCTCCTCAGGAATTCAATTCCAATTTGTAAAACAGAGGTAGCATCTTTCCTTATTAATGTGTTTGTGATTCTGGCAAAGAAGGAAGGAAGTAAGGAAATGTCATCCATTCACCCATACAACCAGATTTATGAAGTCAGAAAAAAATCTGTCCGTGGTCACTTTGATGCAAATTGTTTCAGCAGCTTGGACAAAGACACAGTTGTGCCTGGGTGAGAATTTTGTTCAAGTATGAATTGTTTTCTAGATGTTTAGCTAACACCCTTTGATGTCTGATTTCCACTGCCTCCCTAGGATGGAGAGTTATTGAAGACAATTAGTTAGAGCCATTTATTTCCCTCTGGCCTTGAAAAGAAGGGGCCACACTCCTCAATTATTGACCTACTCTTTTTTCTCTTGCAAACTGTCCAAGCATTCTATTATGAAGTTGAAACATTTCAGATACTGTAAGTTTTTTTTTCCCTAAAGGTTCTGGTTCCCACACTTAAATTCTGCATCCAAACTCAGATTCGGACTCCAATCCCCAAATCCGCTCCAAAACACATTCATAGCCCAGCCCTGGAGACTGGGAACTTCAAGCTCTACTTGCCTCCTTTCAGAATGAGTCAAAGAATTTTAAAAAGCAATGAAACTGTGAAATCCCTTGATGAAGTGTTTCTGAAGTGTTCTGGCCACATCTGTAGGAACAGTCAACTATTATCTAAGTGTTCACTTCTAAAGTGGAAAACAAGCAAATTTAGCATAAATCTAGGCAAAAGGCAACTTCTAAAAGAAGAGACAAGCTCATTTACATGCAGAGAGGGAATCACAGCACTGAATCTTGGGGACAAGGGTGGGAAGAATGAAAGTGACAGAAACTGAGCAAGCAGGGGGCTCCTGGCCTCCTAGGGTCATGACATCTGGAAGTAATGAGAATTTATAGGAATGTGGCAAATTGGGCCCATCTCAGTGCTAGCTATGACTACTAAATCTCTCCATCCGTACGGAGAACTCCCCGCCCCCACTGCCCACCATTTACTGATACATTAGTGAAATAGAGACGTAAATGAACTAAACTAAAAATAGCAAAATACAGTATAGATTTCTGTTTGGAGTGTGAGGCCTCTGCTCTTTAAGGACAGTGTTCTGATTTCCATCTTATACATTGGGAAGCAGGTGCCTGAGACTAGAATTTGTTTTTTTTTCCCTAACACTTTGGGAAAAGAAATGCCCTCCTCCTTTAGTTGATGGTACTGGGGTTTAAACTTAAGACTTGGCATTTGCTAGGCAAGACCTCTACCACTTGACCCATACCCCTAGCCCTTTGTGTTTGAAGGTTTTCAATCACAAGATAGGGTATCGTGTTTTTTTGCCTGAACTGGCCTCAGACTGTGATACTTCTAACTATGGCACTATGCTGCTTGCAGAGATGGTCTTATGAGTGTGAGCCATCACATCCATTTTATTTGCTGAGGTGGCATCTATAGAACTTTTTGCCTGGGCTGGACTAAAGCCACAATCTTAATCTCCACCTCCCAAGTAGCTGAGATTACAGGTTTGACCTAAGTGCTTGGACAGGACTCCGTTGCCCCCTTCTGATGTGGAAGGCAGTTGAGACACAGTGAAGATCCCTGATGGGAAACTGCAGCAAAAGGAAAGCTAGTTAGTAATGATGACAGCTGCTCTTGATGCTCCTATTGCTGTGCACCCTGTACTAGGCAGAAAATTCTACACCAGCATAATTCACCCTTTCAACCACTCACAAAAATAGGTATGGTCTCTTAGGGGCTTTGGGGTACAGGGAAAATGCGCCCAAGGCTTAAGACAACATCTAACTACGTTTGTCAAAGAGACCAGCCTCTTTATCTTTCCACCAGGTTTCCTAATGTAACTGCAAACACCTGTCTGACGTAAGGCAAGGCAGATAACTTCTCCAGAGCAGGACTGTAGGAGAATCATGGTCTCTAGTGGTGGCTAAAATTATATAATACATGAATAAATATCAGCCTATTATTAAAACACTTAAACACCTGCAAATGTGTGTGATGGGGACCCACATCTGGGTCTTTTCATCAAGAAGCTCCACTTATACCATTTCCAGGTGGCTTTTAGGCAGTTCACACCTGGAATGAACATCCAAGCTGATCGTGTGCTTAAAGCATCCACAGGGTAACCAAGTTATGTTAAGGTAAACTTGGTTTTGTGAAAACTTCATGGTGGCCTGGAGTCACACCTAAGAAGTTATGGCTCTACGTATGATTGTTGTTACAGAATATAACCAATCACATAGCAGAGAGGGTGGCAGCCTTCTGGCCATGCCTTCTGAGAATGATTCAGTCTGAACCTTAGCAGGTATGTGGGGAAAGGACCACTTTGCATTTGACACCATGGACTTGTTTCAAATTATGGGTACTTTCAATGGTTTAATTAAACTCTGAGCTTTCTACACACATTTAGAATGGCAGCTCAGTGAGGGCAGGGATTTGTCCTTGCCCAGTGCTCTTAGAACACAGCATAGCATATGAATATAAAATACACACTGTAAGCCATGTAATTCCATATGTATTCATATATATATATATATGATGGGTGAATGAATGAACATTCCCAGATAGAATTTCAGTTATTCAGGGAACTTTTGTGTGTTTTCTTTTTTGATCATACTAGGGTTTGAACTCACAATCTGACACTTGTTAGGCAGGCACTCTATCACTGAGTCACCAGTCCTTTTTCGTGCCAGTCATGTTTGAGATAGGGTCTTGCTTCCCATCTGGACTACAATCTGCTTTGTTCAGGCTTCTGGTTGTTGCTAGGGTAACAGGCATGCACCAGCATACACACTGGTGCATGCTCTGCTTGACAAGGGGTCTTGTGAACGTTTTGCTCAGGTTGGCCTTGAACTCCCATGCTCCTGATTTCAGTCTCCCAAGTACCTATGATCACATGTGTGAGCTTGGCTTCTTCTACAATTTTTTTTTTTTTTGGGTCCAGTCGAGGGGCCTGAACTCTGGGCCTGGGCGCTGTCCCTCAGCTCTTCAGCTCAAGGCTAGCACTCTGCCACTTGAGCCACAGCACCATTTCTGACTTTTTTCTTTTTGCTTATGTGGTGCTGAGGAATCGAACCCAGGGCCTCATGCATGCAAGGCAAGCGCTCTACCACTGAGCCACCTTCCCAGCCCCTGTTCTACAATTTTTAAAGAAACAATAGCTTTGATATTTCAAATAAAGGTATTCCTGGAAACACTACAGGAGGAGGGCTTTTTATTAAGTTTGGGCCAAATCTGAGGTTTAGCAATGCAGTACAAATTCCAAGTTGGGAACCAGTCCAGTCAGAATCTCAGTGCAGGCATGGTAAACACTCTGTGTGGTAGATGGCATGGTGGTCAGTCTCTGAAAGATGTTGAGGGTCAGCCACCCCCAGCCCCCCAGCACCACTTCAGTATGGAATGCCTTTACTGATAAATGAGCGTGTCAAAGCACTCACCCACCTGAGTCTTTATAAAAGAACGAGAATAAAACCTGTTCTATAATGTTACTCTCTCAAATGTACCTATGGGTGGCTAGAGAAACAGTGATTGATTACTACTAGTCTTGGAGTCACTGGCTCAAATAAAGTACCTTGGCTTGGGGTTGAAATGAGTTCTGTCAATGCAAAACAAGAGGAGAGAGAATATATATTTAATTCTACTGCAGAAACATCTTTCAATTCTGCTGAAAATAGCCAAAGGGGAGGGGGGAATTCTTAGAAAACATAGGCATAGATTTTTATGAGTAAAGATTTAAAAAAGGACATTTCATCTATCAAGAGCAATACAAAGGGGTTATATAAATTTATTTCTCATGTAACAACTGATTAGTTTACAAAAAATTCCCATTCTCAATGTTAATTCCATTTCTCATTTTTTTAAAAAAAGTGACTAAAAGGACAAAAACCCACACAAAATACAATCTGTATCTGTCCTCTATTTACAGATAACCAATCATTATTAAGGCACAGATTAAAAGCTAACATTTATTCAAATAATCCATCTACTCTTTTGTGCATTATTAATACCAACAACTCTGTTTTCTGTAGTGTCATATTCCCTTCATTGCATCAAGAGAAAGTGAGAAAAAATATTTTCCAGTGTTTTAATTTATTCTTTTCGCCATCCTATTTAATCTAGTTTAAGTGGACAATTTTCCCTTTGACATAATATCAAAGCACCGTTCATAAAACCTCTACCAAGTTAATACTGAATGTAAATTCCATCTTCCTCCCACTCCAAATATGTGGTAGAGAGAGCTGGGTAAAAGCTGTGATTGTTTTGTTTATGGAAGGTCTCACTAAAGAAGTGTAGAATTTAGAAAATTGGATTGTGGAGCAGAAAACTGGCCTGGAACTGTGTTGTATGTTGTGCCTGTTGCATGAATACAAGAGAGAGAGGGAACACCACATGGTCATCTGCACACTTGCATACAAGACCAGTGAAGAATACTTGGCAAAGGGAGGTATTTGCTTTTCCATCCTTACAGAGATAGGGTTTAAGTTTATTGTGCATGCCTTCAGGGTAATTTCTAAAGTGAAAACATTTTCTGTGGGCAAAATGTCACTTCTTTTTAGCTGAGTGGCAAGGATTAGCCATGAAAAAACATCAGGCAAGGATTTCTTATCCCATGTTTGTGGAAGTCCTCAACTCAGTGCCTTCTACTGAGAGCAAGAGAATGGTTTATGTCCACAAAGAAAGTCTTGAATACTGAGCACAAATAACTCATTACAGGTAACTGACAGCATTTACTATGGGAAACTTTTCCAAAAAAATTAATATACTTGGATATAATATTGCTTTGAAGAGAGGCACTTTAGTGAGTTTCTTAAGGACTGAAAACCGTAAATCCACCAGAAAGTGTCTGAAAATACTTAGGAAACAACATTGCTTGATTTCTTGGACTTTCACAGTATAATATTGTTAACAATAAATCCAGCCACTTAAAAAACATTTTTCCCCTTTCAGAATTCCACCTTCTTTATAAACTGGGGTTTACTTAAAGCTTTTCCATCAATGAATACAAATTGATTTCAAGCAATGGATACAGTTTTAGGAAAATCCTGCGGCCAGGTAGGTAAAGTTTAAGGACTGTAACTTTTCTCTTCATAATGGCAACAGTGCTGTCTTGTCGGATGATTATTTGTCTTTTTAAATAAAGTGACAATCTAGGGCTCCAGTTATTGAATGCCGTTCATTCTCTACCATAAATCTCTAGTAAATATCAATCTCATCAATTATGTACTGTATGCTTATAATATCTAAAAATAGAAGTTTGATATAAATAAATGTTCTGTAGTGGCAGTATACTAAAAAAACAGCCCTTTGCCTTGAGACAAACATTAAAATCATTTTAGCGATATAGGCAGCAGCTAAATATAGATACTGAAAAGGGTTAATATTGCAAAGTCCATTTGGTTGGTCGGTACCTGGTTTCTGGGAACAAGGCACATTTGCTAAGGTTTTCTAGAATGCTGACATAAATGAGCAAAATTGGTCCATAACCAAGTGGACTCACATTTCCCAAAGTCCAGAATACTCTACACAGCAACTGATATCCAGTACCATTTTGAACAATTTGACACAGTCAGAAAAACGTGACTAAACCTGATCTGTACCAATACATCAGGTGACATAAAAATAACAGAGAGAATGAGAAAGACAGACAATTTCCACAGGACAAGAAGTCAGAACGTGTAAAGTGCTGAAAGACCTCAATAATTTTAAAGCAGTACCAGAAAATTCCATTTGATTATTATTTTTTAAATCCCCAAATACCAAAATAAAACAAGCAAAAAAAAAACTTGTAAGTTTTCTGGCATCCCAGGTGTCAAAATCCTTCATTTTAAGTAAAAAAAAAATCAGTGCATACATTATATAGGTAAATAAAAAGAAATAAAGCCCTAATTCTCATACTGCAAAATTCTGTCCAACTGCCACTTGACAAGTTATCCACATTTGATGTTTGTATGGCAACCTAAGCACATCTTCTCTCTTTTCTTTCTTTTTGATGTTAAAGTACAGGTGTGAATAAGATGCTTTGGTCCTGATCCCAGACACCCACAGTGCTGAGGATGGTGTGCAGCGAAGTCTGTTCACAGATCATCTGTGTCCAAGCTACAGTTTCTCTGTGCCTAGAAGGTCCTGCTACCAGCGGCCACTGACACTAGCAATGTCTGAGTGGTACTGCCGGGGGAGCCTCCCGCTCGCTCCGCCTTCCAGAAAAGAGGTACGGGAATTTGGTGGTTCAAAAAGCTTCCTTCGGTTTTTATTGAGCTCTAGAGAAAAGGAGAGAGAAGAGAAAGAATTGTTAGCAGTTCAATGGAGAAGTTGTATATACCACAGGACATGGCAGTAGAGCTCAGAACATGGTGATGCGTATGTTCTGAGCACAAAGTCAAGTCTGCTGGCAAAAAGAAACCTTTCAGTTAACAGGTAGAAATAACTAGACGTCTGGTGTTAGATGTAGCATAATGACAACCTAGAAAGCCAAAGAGCAGCAAATCATTTTCAGTAAGATATATACAAATATATATGTATGCGTATATATATATGCTATTTGAAGGACGTCATTGTCAACAGCCTCTAACCACATTAAACAGTCTGACTTACTCCCAAGTGTCCTTTTTGAGGTAGTGGGGGCCACTACGGCTGGTGAAAGGCACATGAGAAGATGTATTACCACTGCCACAAGATTATGATGCTTACTGAACTCACCCACTGATACCAAGCACAGCAACCACTAAGTCACTAATGTCAAAGGTGATAAGATGATCCCACTCCTCGGCCTGAGGATAATGTAGAGTGGAGAGGTACCCTGAAGTAGGCAGCCACAGCCCCATGGCTGTGCCCACTTGTGAGGCCTATATTCCTGAGTCAAACAGTTATAGCACAAGGTGTCTGAGAATAACAGATTGGTATAAATCACAACAGCTTAAACATTAGAACTGAGGAACAACCAATACTTGAGTCCCAACTTTCAGGAAAACCAGTGTGCCATTTTAATTTTAAGGACACGAGAATATTGTTTAGAGCTAGGCACCAGTGTTCACTACTATAATCTCAGGACGCTGAGATCCAGAGGACTTCAGTTTGAAGCAACCAGGGTAGAAAAAGTCCTGGAGACTGCATCTCCAATATGCCAGCAAAATACCAGACTGGAAATGTGGCTCAAGTAGTAGATCATTGGCCATGAGTGAAAAAAAAACAAGCAAGAGTACAAGGCCCTAAATTCAAGCCCTCATGCCAGAACCAAAATGACAGTAATCAAATCCTGTCTAGCTTTCCTTCTGCCAACTATCAAAAAATATTAAACCTAATTTAACTGATACAGATTATGTTACTTATAGCCATGCATCCCCCTCAACAGACCCCAAATCACTGATGTCGTAATGAACTCCAACAAGTCCAACTCTGTAAATTAGAATTTCTGGTAATTTGAAGAGATGTCCTTCTGGCCATTTAGTCAATTTCAAATAGAGGGATCGCACAGGTCACTGGCTTAAAGTTGTCTCTTTTAAGAGGGGTTGTGAGCAGGTGACTGAACCCCTTATATTTTCATGATGCTCAGGTGTTTACCCACATACACAAGGACCTTTAAAATTCTGAAGTTACACAGACGTTTGCTGTAATAGGATAAGTGGTTAAGAACCACAATATGAGTGGACAGTGTGAGGGAAGGGGTGACATTCTCCAAAAAGAAATGTATTCTTGACTTACGTAACTATAACCCCTCTATATATCACTTTTATAACAATAAAAAAAGAAAGACAAAAGGACCACCATATGGCCAGACATAATATTATCTAGTATTGGAAGAGTACTCTATACCTGAACACTTCTCCAATGCTCCCCAAAGTATACTTGCCTGCCATGTGAGGGCTAAAGTAACAGTGGAGACCTCTCTTTTGTTAACATAGTTTTAGGAGAGAAGAAAGATGACCATGATTTATTAGAGGTTTTTAGCTGACAAACACTCTGGAATCATTATGTTCTGTTCAGGTCCTCCCTAAGGGATAAATAATACCATTTTCCTCATTCTCTATTTTACAGATAATCAAACTGATTGTTGCTGGTCCATATCAATGGAGCTGACATCCCCCTTGGCTGATGCAGAGGTCAGAACCCTGAGACACAGCAATCCACGTGGTATGAAGACCAGAAACCAGGAGTCTAACACAGAGAAAATGGGAATTCCAGGTATGTCCAAGAATCATTTTATATGTTGTTTAAAAATATAACGCAGTTTAAACTTCCTATATAAACAAAATGACATGTGCAGGCTTGTGTGATACAGGTTGGTGACTACTATTTCAAGTTCCTGAGCAGAGTCAAAGTAAGTGATATGCCAGTAATGTGAGACAAAATAAAACAATATAGAATAACCTTCGACTTCAATATTCAGAAATCAAGACAGAATTGAGACTTAATAGTAAGTAAACCCTGTTGGGTAAGTGCATACCAAGGATGGTTTTAAGCCAGGCCCCAAAGAAACATAGGTCCCATGGTTTCCCTTATTTGAAATAACTAGTATATGTCTGAGACAAGCAGAAAAGGTCAGATAAGTTGATGTTAGGTGAAATGAACCCCAAGATAAGGATTCAAATGTTTTTTTCTTTCATACAATTATTTCTAACACATTTATAAGATTATTTCTTTGTTGCTTTGTATGTCCCTCCCCCACGGTATAACCCCTGCTTTCACTGTATTTGATGTTGGTATAATTTGTGGAGGGGAAGGGAAAAAAACAAGTCGTTTAAATAGGGATACAGGTGGACCCATTGCAACAATGAGATGTACAAGTCGATATGTTGAAAAACGAACTTTACAACTTTGGCGGGCGGGGGTGGGGGGGAGATGGGAAAGGATGGGAAGGGGAAACAAAGGAGGCAAAAATGCTTGATAAGAAATTCACTCCTTATCTTGCCCATGTAATTGTAACCCCTCTATATGGTATTTTCACAATAAATAAAATAAAATAAAATATATTCAAATGAGGAAACTATCCTTGTTCTCCATTTTTGCAAGGGGACAGGCCTACAACTCAAAGATGTTTCCATATTACAGAGGATGGAAAGTAAGACAAGAGGGCAAACACAAAACAAGTGCAATTGAGCACATGAAAATAATTGGGTCCATGAAGACCATTTAAAACATAAACATTGAAAACATTTTTCTGAAAAACTACATCATTTCGATCTTTGAAAGAGCTAAATAAGCATGAGGTACTCTGCCATTTTCAAGATGCACCATTTCTGTGAGTATACACACCCATTTTTTTTCTAAATGTGAGACACCAGGATAAATCTTCAGAGAAGATAGCAAAGATCAAGTCCTACTGAAAACACTTGAGGGTTTTCAGTTTTGGTTTTTGGATTAAAAAGCAAAAGCAAACTCCTTCCTTTCTTTTTTTTTCTTTGATAAGCCTAAGGGCATAATTTGGGAAAATACCAACCTTTTTCTTTGAAATTCCAAGGTTCACACAATCCTGGCAGCTCTCAGGATCTTGTTGCGGGTCTGAACAGAGTCACAAACTAAAAGAATAGGTCGGGAAATGTTAGATCTACCTGAGGCTGTGGCAGGGAGCCTGTCATAGGAGGCTAACTTTCCTACTTTCACTAAGTCTCTAGTTAAACAACTACTAAACTACTCTGAGAGAAATCTGTGAATTTTCACAACTCACAAATTCGAAAAGAAGAATCTATCAAATGTACTCTTTGATCCATTTCTACTAGAGGTAAATTCCATCTCTACCTCTATTACTAAAATACATGCCTTCTGGTCCAAGATAAAAAAACAAAACTAAACCTCATCTTAAAAAAACCGAAATTATAAAAAAGAATCTAAAAGAATCTGAAAAGATTCTTGAACAACCCTCTGTCTAACCATAAACTGTGTAACCACAAGTTCTAAGCGAGTAAGTTAGGGCTGTGTAGCTGTCTTCTATCTATCTGGAAATGGAATGTTCTGGAACGATAAAAGTAGATTTTTTTTTCAGAAATACTGATTGTAGAAAGAAGCTTTTAGAAGCTTTTTCATGAAGGACATCTCAATAAAAACTTATTACGAATGCACTCAAAAAAGTAAGGCGAAATCATCCTTAAAATTACCATGTACTTCATGTTGTGTAGAGCATTCACACAGTACCTTTTTCAACACCTCCAATTTCCTTTAAAAGCAAGAGGCCCTGTGAACCCCACCACGCATGACAGTCTACAGTAGTAGTATATAACCTCAAAAGAAGATGACTGGACAAAAGTATTACAGAGTATTCAAAACTCCCTCTATTCCCATCCTGTGCCCAAAACCTAGAGTGAGAGGTACCAATAGAGTCCTGAGGAAAGGGACTGATGACCCTTCTGCAATATGTGGAAGTATTTGCAGATCCCCGCTTGCAGCTGAAATTTTTAGGGTTTGGAATTGAGGCACAAAGAAAGAGCTTAGTTTCCATTATATGATCACTTCCATTCCATGAATCCCTATTGAAACACTATGCCATCCTGGAGTCTACATGTCTCTGGCACAACCGTCTCTGCCAACCTATTGTAGATGTGATGAATAAGAGAGCTGACCAAGAAGTACATGACTCACATTTGTAAGTGAATAAAAGAGTGAAAAAGTGGAGAGTTAATTTCTGTCTTGGAATAGGCCTCTGAGCCTTATGGTAAACCAAAAACCTTCTTACCATAGATGATTAAAAAAAAAAAGAATGAGGTGCTGTCTATTATATTAAAGTTCTATTTTCATTAAACTTGATGATAAATTACATGAAAGGAAAGGTCTTAGAAATAAATGGAAGATGACCTAATACACTCATCTAATTTATCTTCACAATTAATAAACCAAACTCAAAAGAGGTTTGGAAACTCACCTAAGAACTCATGACTTGGCAGAGGTAAAGCCGAGGACTCCTATTTGAATCACTACATCATCATGATCTCAGGAGCAAAGGGAAATTATGCCTTCACCTTGTGGACTTTGTCAATGCAGCTCCTTATGTGCCCAAGGTGGAGGTAGATTTCTTAACCTGGTGTGTTCAGGAGGAACATGAAGAACCTAACGGCTTCTGCCACCAAGAAGCTCACTGGTGGGATTTCTACCTCTATTTCAAAGCTAGTCTACCTGTGTCTCCTTCAGATAGATTTCTTAAGAGGAGGTGGGTAGGGTGCTATAATCTGCTGCTCAGTAAAGTAGAAAACTCCCCCAGCCGTAAACTTTCCTTGCTGATCTGATTAGTGGATTCTGTCTGGAAGGGACTTGCACCATCTGGAGGCATAGAGGTGTGGCCCGCAAACCCATTGCTCACAACACACTACTCTTGGCTTCTACCCTCAGTGACCATCTTTCGGAGGTTTCCACATGTATTTTTATATTCCAGAAACTTACTGGAAATCTTCAAAAATGAATCTAACCTCCCATCATATTTCTGGCTTCCTTGTTGTGTTTTCAAGTGAGTGGCATCTAATAAGTATGGATTGAGCCCTTTCCAATACTTGGAATATGCAATGCATATACAAAGAACATAACTAGGAAGACAGCATTGATGACTACATTCAGGAATACAACCTTCTGGGACCTCATATTCTATCAAAACATGCCAGGTTCAAAGCTGTGTTGTAAATGGTCTTTTTTTTTGTCTTAGTGTGCCAGGACACCTGCACAGGACCCAATCAAGAATCATTTATCACCAACTCAATGTTAAGCTTAACCCAACTGCAGAAGGGAAATTAAACTGTTGCCCTTCTCACGTTCTGCCTAGTGCAATTTTGCCTAGATATTTATGAAGAGACAGACTTGGGGGAACACCATTGACAAGTCATCTTTTAGGTAATGTCTTGATGAAGGAGCAAGGCATTTCTTGGCCCTGGAAAGAACCCTCTAAAACCGCAAACAGCTGTGGGGCAGAACCAGTCTCACTGGCTGAGACCATGGGCAGAGGTTTTTTAGATTTTAAAATAGGAGTTGAACACTTGTACTCACCTGAGATTGCAAGCAGCATTTTTCTCCTGGCACCGAAAGTAGTGATTCCTAGCTCCTTCAGATCTTGATCTGTGAGAGTGAGGAACGTCTGAAGATCAATCTGCAGATAGAAACATATAATCTGTAGCCTTACATATTTTCTTCATCAGGGTAGGATCGATACATTATTACATCCCTTTGTTAATTATGCTCTGCCTACTCGCAAAACCTAATGGTATTGGCACAAACCTGCAGGACAAGAATTAGGAAATAAAGATGGTAAAATGACTTACTCTAAGCCAGTGACTTATAATTGCAAGCAACATAATAACTGAGCTCTGAGCATCCTGGCAGCTAATGCAAAAAGAGAAACAGAAATATAATACCATTTTTAATGAAAGGATAAAAAGTAAATATCTAACCAGAAAAAAGAAAAAAACTCTTAGCTTTGGATTCTGGATTGATTAAATATATCTTTATAAGAAGAAACTAGTGGCTGGGAAGGTGGCTCAGTGGTAGAGCGCTTGCCTTGCATGCCAGGTTTGATTCCTCAGAACCACAGAAGCAAAAAGAAAAAAGCCAAAGTGGCGCCATGGCTCAAGTGGTAGAGCGCTAGCCTTGAGCTGAAGAGCTGAGGGACAGCGCCCAGGCCCAGAGTTCAGGCCCCATGACTGGACCCCCCCCTAAAAAAAAGAAGAAGAAACTAATACGAATGTGGTCTTTTATTTTATGTGAAATTAGTACCATTGCTAGAATACTTCCTCCATCTACAGTTTGACTCAACTCAGAAGAATAACTCTGAAAATGGCAGAAAAAGTACTGGTAAAACAGTATGGAAATATTCCTTGGCATCAGAAATAAAGCACCCAACCTAAGCACCCAACTCTTCCTTTTAATACAGTGAGGAAGACAAGAAAAGCAACAGAATTCAAATCCTAAGAAAGGTGGTCCAAACTCTACTAGCTCACTTAGGACTAGCCTACATCCTTAGGACCTGAACCTTGCAGGGTTCTGTGAGCCCCAACTATGACTGTGAGTATTAATGAGCATGCTTACCACAGGGTTACATCATTGGGATCTATCATTAGAAATAGCACATAGTGATATAGTATCAGTGAGCACTGCTAATAAATCTCCAGAATGCTTATAGTAAATTCAATATCATGAGGTGATTTAATAAGGAATTCTTGTTAAACATATCTGAATTTTAGAAAATATCCAATTTTAACCTGCCATAAACAAATATACCTTCGTTGAACTATATTGAACATGATTTTTGTACAATTTTTATTGCAAAAATACTGTACAGAGGGGTTACAGTTACATGAGCAAGGTAATGAGTACATTGCCTATCGAGCATTTGAACATGAGTTTTTGAAGTCACATCCAAAATTACAAAAATCTTAAGGCATTGGGCTAGGAAGGTGGCTCAGTGGTAGAGTGCTTGCCTTGCATGCATGAGGCCCTGGGTTCGATTCCTCAGCACCACATAAGCAAAAAGAAAAAAGCCGGAAGTGGCGCTGTGGCTCAAGTGGTAGAGCGCTAGCCTTGAGCTGAAGAGCTGAGGGACAGCGCCCAGGCCCAGAGTTCAGGCCCCACAACAGGACCCCCCCCCCCCAAAAAAAAAAACTTAAGGCAATTACTTATCACAATTCTACAACTGTTTTTAGAAACTCTATTCAATGAAATACTAGTTTTCTAAACTTACCCTCTCAAAGTCAAGTCATAAATGTTCTGGGTGTCAAAGACCAACTGTTAGGACCACTCAGCTCTGCTTTCACACCTCAAAAGCAGATACAGATATTCTATAAACAAATGGGGTGCCATGTCCCAGTAAAGTCTATTGACAAAAATCCAGTAGCAAGCCTGCAGGTCACAGTTTGCTGACCCATGGTTAATACAGTCTGAGACAGACCCTCTGTTGCTATCGATTCCCAAGTGTTCTTTCTTCTTGAGTAAGAGGCAGCTATAATAAATCTATTTCAATTCTTCCAATAGGAAATACAGATAGCATCAAACCCAGAAATCTTCAAGTAACATTCCATCCATGTTTGGAAAAGTTGGAGTATCTCTGCTCTTGTGTTTCCCAGTCAACTGCCTTCACAGAGAACAAGATTCCGCAGTGCTTTAATATGATTTAATTAGTGTTCATTTAACTGAAAATTTTCTAACTTGGAGCAAAGAAAATATGTTCAATTTTATAAAATCCAACATGCACATGACAAACCTATTTCAGCATAACCAGCAATAATGTTCCATAATTAATCAAGCATGAATGACACACTGAATTTATGATACATGTGCCAAATGAGAATCTTGAATTCTTTGTTGACAGACATAGCTAAGAATTTCTAACTTTGTCAGATATTCCCTAACATGGCATTAGCAACAGTTTGGATGATGTCTTGATTTGGGAAAGAGATATACTAACAGTACTTTCAGATGCATTAGGATGGCCCTAGTGACAGTAGTTCTAGAACCATGCTTTGACCTATTTTCTTCATGCCAATGAAAAACAGGACATGGCTTATCTGTCAGATCAAAATCCAGTATAGTAGTTGTGCAGAGGACATCCTAGGTCTGTTTCAGTTTGGTCAAAACCAAACTAGCAAATTAATAAATATATGAACATTTAAAACCCATATTCTGCAGTGATATAAGTAGTAGACAGTGACACTTATTTTGGCTGTTGCTATTTACTCCTAAGTGCCATGAATAAAGGTAACAGACCCAAGAATGTAGGGAGCTATGAATCAATACACCAGTTAGGCCTTTTTAAAGCTAAACTGCTGATGGGTAGATATGGCATATTTTTGCAAACATAATAGTCTACATTTCTGCTTTCCTGTGTTTACTAACTGCACTAAATAAATGAGAAATGAGCTGACATTTTCCTAGCAAAAACAAAGCTATGAGACGTGAAGAAATGCTCAGGGAGAGCCCCATCGGAGGTCAATGAGTGATTTCCTTCTAGAGGTCATCTTCCATGCCACCACAACAAAAACACCCAGGAAAATACAGAATGACCAACCTCTTGTTGCTGGAAGACATCTGTGTATTTGCCCAGGCCAAGTTTGCTGAAAAGCTCAGGGAGGTCAGAGCCTTTGAAAGAGCTGTTCAAGTTACAGCCATTGCTTCCTGTCAGCGAAGAAATGCAGTCCATGTAATTGCTACTGCTGAGATAGTGTTCCGCTGCAAGGCAAAGCAGAGACAGGCTGCAAGTGTCAATGCCCAAAGAGAACACAGTTTAATTAAAAGTTTTAATCACCCAAATCTTTCAGATTTCACTGTTCAGCTGAACAGAGCAGTAGCTGTAGAAATACAGCAATCCTTTACTGAAATACTGGCTTTTCATTAAGGAAATGCTGGTTATTGCTTTCAGGGAGACTCCTGCCATTTAAAATTTACACTTGGGAGGCAGAACTTCGGCAATGGTGCCTCTGTAGTTAATAATCACTCATCATATTCTCCCCTCAACGTGCTGAAGCATTTGCTCTTCGCAGCTTATTTGATGTGAATTAAATGAGAATTGGAAGGAGGATTCCTGGACACAATATTATTAAGTATGGAACGTTATTACAAGTCCAGGGATCCTTTTGGATGGGAAGATGGCTCTTTGTCTCCACCCTTGTACTTTCCTTCAGTCAAAGGGAATTGCAAGATATTGTAACATATAAATCTCATTCCCTAGGAAAACATAACCAAACAAATTCATCAAATGGAGTGCTTCTAAAATTAGGAGTAGCTGGATGCCAGTGACTCACACCTGTAATCCTAGCTACTCAGAAGGCTGAGATCCAAGGACTGCAGTTCAAAGCCAGCCCAGACATGAAAGTCTGTGAAACACTTATCTCCAATAAACCACCAGAAAACCAGAACTGGCTCTGTGGCTCAAGTGGTAGTATGCTAGTCTTGAGCTGAAGAGATGAGGGATAGCATTCAGGCCCCATGACCAACCAAATAAATAAATAAGTAAATAAAATTAGGAGCAATATATGAAGTGATAAGAAGTATGCTGGATTTAAATTACAACAGAAATTAACCTGCCTGCTTTGGCTCTACAAATGATTTAGCAGGCAGCAGTTTCAACAGACTGGTTCACTGACCAACAAACCATGCACAAAGTACCTCACCAAACACACAAACAGGTTGCATTGGAAATTCTAGTGGAGCTGTGCGGCTGGCCCTTCCTATCTCTCCTAACCAACACTGGCTCTCAATTCCATAGGAAGTTTGCAGTCTTAAAACAAGGATATACCTCCAGAAGGAATTCCTAGAGAAGAATGAAGAGGAAGATACTCACCTTCACTCAGATCCATCTGATCTACTCTAGGGCCTGCTTAGCTAAATCTTGCTTACATTGCTTTTGGCACCATTAGTCGCTTTGACCTTCCAATTGACAAGTACTTTACAAACATCAAATGGAAGAAATTTCTGTAATGTTTCTTTTTTCTCTTAAAAACAGATGTCTTATGTCTTTAGGGAGAGTGAGAAGAAAAAAGGGCTCAGAACAAACCCAAAATATCCCTCAGGCTAAAATATTACAAGACATGCCATTATTTAAGGGTGAAGCAGAACTCCCCTCAAAAGGATAGGTCAGGGCTGGGAAGGTGGCTCATCGGTAGAGCATTTGCCTTGCATGCATGAGGCCCTGGGTTTGATTCCTCAGCACCACATAAGCAAAAAGAAAAAAGCTGGAAGTGGCGCTGTGGCTCAAGTGGTAGAGTGCTAGCCTTGAGCTGAAGAGCTGAGGAACAGCACCCAGGCCCAGAGTTCAGGCCCCACTACCAGACCCCCCCCCCAAAAAAAAGGAATAGGTCAAAGATTTGTCAATGTCAAGCAAAACAGTGGGAAGACCACTCAAGAGCAACTAGGACTTGAGAATGTGAAGTCACTGGCAGTCTGACCATGCGATTTATTCTCCAAATAATAAACTTATTTGGGATGGGTATATGGAAAGCTACTCAAAACTACACATGAACAAATGTTATAAACAAGGATGCCCAGGGAAAATGGGAGGAATATAGAGAGACAGAGAGAGAGGGAGACAGAGAGACACAGAGAGAGAGAGAGAGACCTTGACAAAAGTATTATCTAAGTAAGCACAAGGCTCTTAGTTCAAACCCCAGTATTACCATGAAAAATGATATAAAACCATGCTGTTCAACACAGGAACCACTGCCCACATGTAGCTACTGAGCATCTGAAATAACATTAGTGGTAACTAAAGTGTTCTATCAGCATAAAATACACTGCAGATCTTGAAGACTTTGTACAAAGTATCTAATTAAAAGAAAAATGTGAGGTCTAACGAGGTGAATTAAATATAATAGTAAAAATTTGAAGAACAAAGGTTTAATATAAAATATCCTAAGAGGTAATGATTAAAATGAACAAAAAGTTTCCTTACATTTTTAAACTACCAATAATTTCTATATACTGTTATAAACTTCTACACTCTTAGAAGATCTGATGAGAGTCAAACAACTGCGCTTTCCTAATTATTTATCTTAACCCTAAACTTCAGCTACAGAGTAATTATGCAGTGTTACATGAAGGGAAAGGAGATAAAGATGAGAGGGGGTGACACAAAACCAAGTGATATCTGGCTAAAGACCAAAGACTATTTATAGCTCCAGACCAGTTTCTAACACCAGCCAGAAAACAAGAAATGTATTATTGACAGTACACTCAACAATAAAAGAGTTGACCATTCCTTCTTAATTAGCCTTGGCCAATACCAGGATTGGTCTTTTCAAGCCAAATTCCTGACATGGACAATTTGATGTTAACAATTGGCTGTTTCCAAGTGTCCACTGGGCTTATCGAGATTAACTTTCTACAAATACTCATAGCTACATGCTCCAGAATAACAATATGTCAATTGTTGTCTATTATTCATGTGGCCAAGAAGTGTGAGTGCTGTTACTGATAAAACACAATCCTGCTGAGTCTCAGCCATATTTGCCTGCACTTTAAAGTGGCTTTATTTTCTGTTTATGCTAATTCAGCTATATTGGGTAAAGCTAAAAGATCAAATTCTGCTCTTTGCTTTTGGTACCCCAAACCCTGGACAGTCTGTCCCCAATCACCTGAGATGTGAACCTGATACAATTCTTCTTCACTACTTTTTTATGTATTTATCTTTTCCTCATCACCTACTGTCTATGTGTATACTGCTCATTCATTTCATAAGCCTATATGCACCACCCTCTGCTGGAGGTCCCACAACTCTGCAAGACACCTGGGAAATGACAAAGTACACTCTAACAATACCTAGCATATAGGCACTCAATAAATTGAGCATTAAATAAATATGGCCCCCAAATTTAGAGCACTCAAAAATTCTCCTGTGAAAGACAGATATGTACATTTCGGGCAACAATGCTAGAGTAGGCACTTGGACAAAAATACAATAAGAAGAGATAATTCAGTGGCTGGCTTCCCTGGGAGAAAAAGGGAAAGGATACACCAGCACTTGAAATCTCAGAACCAGTCATTCTCACCAAATAAACCAAACCAACTCAAGCCAAATAAACACATTCTCTATTGACTATGCCTAACAAGTAGGAACAAAAGCCAAAGCTCACTTGATTTGTTTTGTTTGCGCTTGGGACTGCCTATAGAAGCTGCAAATTCACTATGACTTGTGGGTCCTATTCCATTTCGGTCTCGCCAGTTGTCAGATTCGCTTCCGCTTCCCAAGTGCTCACGACTGTTGGACCGTGAGAGGGATATGGATGAACCCTGTAAACAGCAAATGCAGATAATATTTAATAAAGTTGGTTTCCCAGGGTAGAAGGAGAAATGAATCCAAATGACACGTCACTATTTATTTGCATTGCTAACCCTCATACCTGAGTCTCAAAAGACCTGGTCTCACTATCTATCGCTTTGTTCCTCCAGCAGCTAAGGATACACAGTAGTGTATGTGAAGTCCTTTCCCATCATTATGAGAAGCTTTGCGTAAGAAACTCAGCAGAGCTCTGGGAGTCCCCAGTGCAAAGAATCCTTCCGCTAAAGTTTGGGAAAATGGTGGCTGGAACTCATCCATTTTCTGGAACCACAAAGCAGATCTTCTACCTGGTACAGCCGAGATTCTTCGCTTTGTTTCACACAGGGAGGATAAATGGGATGAAGTGAAGGTAACCCCCACACTTTGCAAAGCATCAAACTTGACAACGACAGATAAGACAGATCTGGCATTGCCTTTGTGTTTCCCATCCCCAAACAAGTACACCACCTCCCCAACAAATGACAGATCCTTAGAACCGTTCTCCAAAATTGAAATAAGAGCAATCATTTCAAGAATTGCCACCATTTATCCATTCCTTTAATCACAGTTACAAGGCACACTATCTTTGTATTGCAGTATCAAAGTCAATCTCAGAGTTTCAAAGACTGATACTGATTAAGTCATCCCAAGAAAATTCTTTAGTGTTCACGTTATAAACATATTTGACTCCCTCACAACCACAGTTGCCTTTAGACACGCCCATCTTTGACATCACGACACTCTAATCACCAGGTTTTTCATCTATTTTTTTCTGTATCCTCTACAGCATCTTCCTCTTCTTTTCCATTCCAAATGTCCAATTACAACGGGGCTTAGTCCTCAGATCCTTTTTCTCTGGTTTTTACCTTTCAAACAAGGTGAAACCTCTTTTCAAAGTTACTGAGAGCAGAACTCCCAGATTTCTGGGAGTTCTCTGAATTTGATTTCTCCATTGAAATTCTGAATCACAGAGCTGCTAATCTGATACCACCATTGTAGGGACTGATAAGCATTTAAAACTTAGTGTCTTGAAAGTGAGTCACTGATTACCCATCCCTAGTAACTACTTCAATACTTTTCTCTCAGAAATCCTGTATCACAACAAGTGAAGCTATCATTCAGCCAAAATTTGAAGGGCCATTCTTGACTCTTCCATCCCTTAATACATGTAGTCCATCACAGAATTCTGAAAATTCTTTTAAGTAGACCCCAGAATACAAAATTTCCCCCCTCTCCCTAGCTGCCTTCATAACAACCATTCTGAGGCTACTCTTGCTGGCCCTCCCCATTGTCTGCTACACATAAAACAAGATTGAGTTTTAAAAATGCAAATTAGAACAAACTGTACCTCTGTGTAAAGTCTTGCAATGTGGGTGCTTCCATTGTACTCTGACCAGGGCTCCAGGTACTCCAAAACTAAGCATAATAATTTCTCCATAATTTTCACTATCATGGGCTGAGGCATTCCAGAACAGGCCTTTCTCCAAACTCATCTTTAATACTCCACTATCCTAGCTACCTTCAAGAATTTACTAGCTAATTCTGATTTGGGGATGATCATAGCAGTTGTTCCTTTAACACTCTTTCCCAAGAGCTTCACAAGGTTGGCCCTTTATAATCACCCAGGGTTTAAGGTTCAAACATCCCTTGATCACAGGGTCTTCTTTGTGGCTGCACAGTCTAAAGCATCTTGTTCCATGTTTATCAGGGAACTTTATTACCTAATGCCATCTTATTGCTCTGTGCTTCTCTATATCTACTAGAAAGGAAGCTCTGTTCTGAAAAAAGACACAGTACCTAGCAGAAGCACTGAGTTGCTTTGTGCTTCATATATATTAAAAAGTCTATGTCTAAAATCGTGTGTGTGTGTGTGTGTGTGTGTGTGTGTGTGTGTGTGTGTGTGTGTGTACCACAACACCTCTATGTATAGCGTCAGTTAAGTCAAATAGCTTTATCAGACCCATTTCTGGAAATACTAAATAAAACATTGTCTTGGGTTACTAATGTTTACTAACCATTCTAAACTCTCCACTGAGAAGCTCACTTCCACAATGGTAATCAATACCCTCATTACTTAATACTGGGGGAGTTGAAAATCATCTAATTACTCAGTGTAAGTTTTTATTTGCTTTAGAGAAATGGGACCATTATTTAGTTTTCAAGAAATGGGTGGCAAAAAGAAAAGGAAAAATCCCAACCTCGTTTATCTCTCTATTGATGACAGAGACTTCAGTTCAATGGAAGCTTTGGTTTGACATTGGAACTTGGAAATGCTTGCTCCTTATCTAAAGAACTCTTTGGAACTGACTACTACTGCTGAAAAATGGAAAAAACAGCTCCAGTCTAGATTCTCCTTAATACTGAATACAGAGCTCAAAGCATCAAATTCTTGCCCATGGGGGAGTCAACTGCCCAATCATACTACTTCTTTTTTTTTGGTGGGGGGGATCCGGTCGTGGGGCCTGAACTCTGGGCCTGGGCGCTGTCCCTCAGCTCTTCAGCTCAAGGATAGTGCTCTACCACTTGAACCACAGCGCCACTTCTGGCTTTTTTTTTACTTATGTGGTGCTGGGGAATCGAACCCAGGGCCTCAGTCATGCAAGGCAAGCACTCTACCACTGAGCCACCTTCCCAGCCCTCGTACTGCTTCTTAAGAGATCTGTGGGGGTGTCTCCAAGCAATCTACAATTTCAAAAGACAGTATTATAAATAAAGATGTTTTTTGACATAATGACTTATACAGCTCATTGTTGCAATTGGTCCACCTGTATCCCTATTTAAACGATTTGTTTTTTCCCTTGCCCTCTACAAATTATACAAACATCAAATACAGTGAGATCAGGGGTTATACCGTGGGGGAGGTACATTCAAAGCAACAAAGAAATCATCTTATAAATATTTTTTTTTGGGGGTGGGGCGGGGAGATGGGAAGGGATGGGAAGGGTAAACAAAGGAGGAGGCTACAATGCTTGATAAGAAATGTACTCATTATCTTGCCCATGTAATTGTAACCCCTCTATATGATATTTTCACAATAAAAAAATCAATGTTATTATGGAAAAATAAATAAATAAAGATGTAAATAAATAAATAAAGATGTTATTTCCCTTTTACAAGTTGTGTCTCTACTGTTTCCCAAGTCCTTCCACCCTCGCTTACTACCCTGGTTTTACTCTTGCAAAGCAAAGAAAAAGGCAGGCCGTAACTGCTGCAGAAGACCAGATTGTGCCATGTGAGGAGCCCTTTCGTGCCATTTCACTACAGTCGAAATACACAAGAAATTATCTGACTCCCCAGGAGAATGCAGAACATTATTCCTAAAGAAAGCTAGATACTATCTTTCTTTCAGCAGTACTTAAAGGGCCGGTGAAGAAAGGCAGATTAAATGGTGCACACTTAAACTCCAGTCTAGCTAATTACTCTTCCTCTCCCTCACTGACAGACACCAGCCATGATGGTAAGCAGACTAGCTCAAAACACCACAGCAACAGGAGCTGTGGACTCCCTATGGTTCCGCCACCAGGACAAAGTCCTCTATCTGACACAGGCAAAAGAAAGCAGAAGACTGGGACTGATGTGCTCCCCCACCTTTTCTGTCACGCTTTAGTGTTACATCGTTTTACATCAATGTTTCTTGAACTGCTCTTCCTCCTTCCCTCCCTGATGAATTTGACTCTGAAGAAGATCCTATGCCTATGCCCTAAGTTGTCTAAGTGATTCTCAGGTCCACAGAAACACAGCCATGTGGCTAGGCAGGTGACATAGCACCTCTGGCTAGGTACCTCTCAAGATTAAATCATTAGGAACATAAACGAAGGCAATGAGTTCAAGTCACTCCTCTGACATTTACTGACCACGACCTTGAGGAAGAAAGACACTTCTCCATTCTGGGACTCACTTCCCCTACAGGAAAATTTATTCAGTTTGTAGAGATTGAATACACTTGTAAATGATAACATATCTTATAAGCCACAAAGAACAGCACGTGGTTTAAGATAGCAATTAATAACATATTAATTGTTCAAGTACTAATGGGAAGTATTTCTTTAGATGCAAAAGGCATAAATAACTATGCACAATTATTCCAACAAGGGGCATTCCTGCATACTGTAGTCTTGTCTTTCATCAGACCACTGGTTATCTTTGGACAAGGTTCTTCTGGGGGAGCAATCTAGCTGCTCGGTATTACTATGAATTTACTGGGCTCCATGATGAGCGCTGAATGACCTCTTGCATGTGTTCCTCAGTTCACCAGAAAGAGCACACAGGTTCAGAGGAGTGAAGACTCGCCAAAGCTACACATCTGCTCAATGGGGGTTATCAGAGCCCATCACCCCTGTACTGGCGTGGAAATCACTTTAAATTAAGGGCAGAACTCCCCCATGGTATAACCCCTGCTTTCACTGTATGTGATGTTGGTATAATTTGTGGAGGGGAAGGGAAAAAACAAATCATTTAAACTTTACAACTTTAGCTGGGGGAGGGGGGCTGAGGCGGAGAGATGGGAAGGGATGGGTAGGGGAAACAAAGGTGGAGGCAAAAATGCTTGATAAGAAATGTGCTCATTATCTTGCCCATGTAATTTTAACCCCTCTGTACGGTATTTTCACAATAAAAAAATGTGAGATTGATATTAGTTTAGTAATAAAGGATGTTTAGAATGTGAAAAAAAAGAGCAGAACTGAACAAGCATTCCTAAGAATAAATAATGTACCTCTGAAATTATAGAAACACTGCACAAAGCAAGAATGAGTGAGCTGACCAACTGCGAGGTGCATGGATTGAGAGGTCTCTACAGATGGAGAGAGATGCTTATTTTCTCCCAGAGCTCTACATGCAGGCGGAGAGTGCCTCCTACAGCCTCAAAGTGTTTCAGAAGGCTTCCCCAAGTTTTTGCTAGGGAGGTCATTTCAATCTCTAAATACAGTCTGCCAGGTGGCTTACTACCGTACTGACAAGGGAATCCATAGGGGACAATTCTTTCTACGATCTCAATAGGATTTTCTTTTTCACTTGCTCAGAGACAAAGGAACGAAGCCCTCAGAATGGTTGTTTTTGCCTTTCATCAACACTCCCATGTATTAGAAAGAAAGTGGGTGGAGAAGAAAAGGTCAACCTACGAATGGTAGTTATTACACAAACAATTCTGAATCCCTTCACCAGCTTACAGTGCCTGGTGGAACACTGTGGTTCTTGGATTAAGCATTTCCACCTACACTTAGGTAGGTAGTCTCTCAGAATTGTGTCTATGCAGGTTCGCTCTCTAGCCCACCCCCACTGCAGACGGCTTATGGCCCAAATTTGATACTGTCATATGGAAACAGCGTGAGTCACGTGGAGCCTGGATGAAGAGGATGGAATTCTGCACCCCTCCTCCCTGGGCTAAGAATGCCAGTTTCCCAGTCTCACCCTGTGCTGTGCAGCCAACATCTGGGAAACATAAAAATTTTTTAGCTCTTGTTGGAGAAACTTCCTGCTGTGTTCTTGGCATATTTGAAAATACTGAATTTTTAACTCATATCTAAAGATCTGTTTTGTTTGAGCATTTGCCTTCTTCCCCTATTGTGGCATTGCCAGTGATACTTTTGGACAAAAGGACTCTTTATGTATACATTTGCATGAAATGTGACATCTGTCTTTTGCTTAATCTTTTCTTACTCTGTGACAATCCTCCCCCCACACACTTAGCCAATCTTACATTTTCTTAGCAGCAGACCCATAACTTCGAGAAAAGAGATAAAAAGGCATAATATATAAGATGACATCAATTTTATAAGATGTTTATGAGAACAGAAGTAAAAGCAAGTCATCCTTAATGATTTTTCCCTATGTCTACAAAGAAAAGGAACTGGAGCCCCTCGCCTGTGCTCTGGCTGAAAGAGCAGAGGAAGCTGAGGGGAGAATGACTACAAACCTCGTATGTGGTTGTCATTGTGGGCTTATAGGACACATGGTTGGCTCTTCTCAGCTCCTTGATGGTTTCAGCTGGCATGGATTTGGAAAACCCTAGGCCGCTCCAGGTATTTGTAGGTGTTCTGACTTCTGTCACCACTGGTTTCTTTAACATAGCTTCAGAAGAAAGAGCGTAAAATAAATGCTTGAAATTTTTAATGTAATTTTTAAAATATTGATGACATAATCCTGTTATCCTAGTTACCTAGGAGACAGAGATTAGAAGATTGTAATTCAAGATTAGTCCAGGAAAAATTCAGACCCTGACCCCCAAAAAAACAGGTTTGGAGGCTGGGTGCTGGCAATTCATGTCTATAATCCTAGCAACTCAAGAAGCTGAGATGTGAACGACTGAGATTCAAAACCAGCCCAAGAAGAAAAGGCTGTGAGACTGTTTCTAAAATAACCAGCACAAAGCTGTGCTGTGAGGCCCTGAATTCAAGGACTGTCAAAGGAAGAAAAAGACTGCTTGGTGTGATGGCATGCATCTATAAGGAGGCAAAAACAGAAAGATCATCATCTTAGTCCAATCTGGGTAAAAATATAAGATTCAATCTGACAAAAAAAAAGGCCAATAAAAAAGTGGGATCATGGATCAAGTGGTATAGCACTTGTCCAAAAAGTAGTATGAGCTGAGTTCAAGCCACAGTTACACACACACACACACACACACACACACACACACACACACACACACACACACAAAGAGAAATACTGATGATGATGAGTGTGGTTACTATAAAATTGAAATTTTAACTAGATGGATGTTATTTATTAATATAAGATGCCTAGAAATTTTTTAGTAAATAAATGTACTTAAAAATAGATACTATCGTCTTGGGAGGTGGCTCAGTGGTAGAGTGCTTGCCTTGCATGCATGAGGCTCTGGGTTCGATTCCTCAGCAACACTAAACAGAAAAAGCCAGAAGTGGCACTGTGGCTAAAGTGGTAGAGCGCTAGCCTTGAGCTGAAGAGCTGAGGGACAGCACCCAGGCCCAGAGTTCAAGCCCCAAGACTGACAAAAAAAAAATAGATACTATGTGATTCTGTAATTGATCTAATGCTAATTTATTTAACAAAGTACATTCAACCTTAACAGAATTTTCACAACTTGAACCTAAACACTTTGGCTTTCTTTTTATGAGCATTCTACTTTTCCATTTACCATGAATACTTGAAGATGCTTGTAAGTATAGAGAAAAACAATCAATGTATAAATCATAAGTATATCATTTACCTTTGGTTGCCAATAGCTTCTTTTGTTCATAGTCAAATGCCTGAAAATGAGAGAAAACATCTTTATTTCCTGTGTCTCCAAATGTTACACCAATACTTTATGGTTAGAGAGCAATGGATTTAACTAGGTCCCATTATTTCCTGAAATATTATGCTGAGCTCTGTATCCTAATATGGCAGAAATGTGATGAACATATGATAAATTAAGCAAGCTTTGAAAATTGCTCAGAACAATAACTATTTCCTACTTAAAGACATCTCAGTGAAGAGAGAATTTTTCCTTCAATAAGAAAAATAAATTCCTATTGACAAAAACATTTCCCATACCAGAACCACTATATGTTAAAGTAGAATGCACAGTCTAATGAGAATCATAGCAAGTTTCAGAATAATACATTAGCAAAATGCTATTAGGTATCTACTGTCCTTTCTGTCTCAAAATCCCCCTTACCTGAGGTAATATAATGTTAAGAGTATCTTTAGATGTTATTAGCCTAACTGGCATAGTCTTTGTTTTGAAATATGGTAGAATGTATCCTTAACCTATAATAACATTAGCATATGCACCAACATTAAACTTAGTTACCTTTTATTGGCTAGGACTAGGGGAGCACCATACATTCATTTCAATAACATTCAATGAGTATGGTGGGTCACGACTATGCAGGAACCAAGAGAAAGCTTTCAGAAGAAAGTAGTCAAGATACAGCTATATCTCAAATGACAACCTCACGTTTCTCCCTATTTAGGAAGTAGCCAAGTTTTGATTTAAGGTCCTATCAGGAAGGACAACAACCAACTGGCAAAAGTTCTTTCACTCTTTTCCTAGGAAAAGTATGCATTATATATAATTCCCTGAGTTATTTATGGTCTGAAAGTACACACTTCAGAGAAAAATATACTGTCAGTAATAATTAGTCTAGGAAGATAAAGGTAAACAGAGGGTTTTCTAAACAAACCAGAACATAAGACAACTCTAAAACGATGGCAATATTTCAGGAGAAATAGATAGTTTTAGATAACACTGACTAAATGATTATAAAATCCTAATCTAAAAGTTAAAGATCAGTGTTTAATTATCAATACCCAAAAGTAAAGCATAAGGGGAAAAAAGCCAACATTGACTGTTTCAATGAATACTTATTGATTTCTTACTGGTTAAAGAGGGTGTGCTGAGCTTTTTGGAAGAATACAATAATAAATACTCTATGGCTGGCCTTAAAGACATCAGAGCTAGGAGGCTGAGTAACAGAAATAACTATAAGACAAACTGGAACAGAACAGCACTTAGTCAGGAGACAGATATGCTTTCAGCCACAGAAATCTGAGAAATCTTCCATCTTTCTCTTGATAAATCTCAAAGACTATTATTATTGACCTTTTAGTGATTTTTAGGAGTCAATTCACTATTAGCACACATTCATGTATTTACAATGAATAGATAAGAAAATCAATATTTCTTCCATCCTAAAAGAAACAAGAAAATAGTCCATTGAACATATAAACCTGATACAAAAACAAAACCAAAAAACAAAACTGAAACCACAGATGAAGTGAACTACAAAAGGACAAAGAAGGAAATTGTTATTTTTTTAATAAAATAGGAGTATGTTATTTTACATTAACTGAAAATAAACCCATCAGCTGGGCGCCAGTGGCTCACGCCTGTAATCCTAGCTACTCAGGAAGCTGAGATCTGAGGATCACAGTTCAAAGCCAGCCTGGCAGGAAAGCCTGTGAAACTCTTATCTCCAATAGACCACCAGAAAACCGGAAGTGACGCTGTATGTCAAGTGGTAGAGCGCTAGCCTTGAGCGGAAGAACTGAGGGACAGCACTCAGGCCCAGAGTTCAAGCCCCACAACAAAAGAAAAAAAAATCAGACCAAACCTAGTAAATGACTTTAAAAAAGTAATTGATACATTATAAAGATCACAATTTTATTTTCCTAAAAACTCATTTTCAAATATTCAGCTGCAAAGGATTAAAACACAAGAAGGTCTCCATTGGAATTATAGTAATATAGTTTCATAAATTAATTTGGTATTTCTATGACAGCTTTTGGTATCTAAGATTTTATGAAATGTTTTATCCTTTGTTTGGAGCTTGAAGAATGTCGGAGATAAATTTATTACAAAGTAGGTAAGTCTTCCTTGAAATTCTGTTATTGAAAAGTGTATAAAGGAATCTCTAAAGACACAAAACAAAATCAACTCACATTGTCATCTATATGAAAATCAGATTTCTAGATTTCATGCTTAGGAATCTATTTTGAGTAATTAACCTAATACTTTGAAAATGGATCTAGAGAAAGCCCAGCTGAGAAAGTTGTTTGAATAATCATATAAATATGTAACAAAATCATCACTAATATTCTGCATCTACTTTCAAAGAACTAAAACTTCACATTAGTTATTTTCATAACCTATCTGAAAATTGTACCAAATTTATCATCACCATCGCAGACAGAGGAATATTAGAGCTATTCATCCAAGTCTACGTCATGAAGCAGTAACACTCAGAAATACAGTCTCTCAATTTAGCCATACCATTTTCAAATAACAGAGGAATGTTATTTGCATAAGACATAGTGACATAATCATCCTACACCATTTTAATATGACATTTTAAAGAATTACCTTCATTTAAGCGAAATCCTACATTTTAAATGTTTATACCAAAACCAATTCTTAACCACTACATATATATGTAAATTTTATTTTGACCAGGGGTAAGAAGGAAGGCTAATTTCTATACAACTGCTCATTGAATTCTCCATGTCCTAACCCAACTACCTTGCCCGTATGACTTTCCTATTTTACCTCCATACCTGCATGTTGACATATGATGGCCGTGGGGCAAGGCGGGCTCGTTCAGAGTTTTGCTGGGCAGCTGCTGCTCTCTCTGCGGCTCGCTCACTCCCAGGAGCCTTTTTGTCAGCCAGAGGGCTTTCCGCAGCACTGAGTTCAGGGTCTGACAGCAACCTGTCAGCACTGCTATGAAAGAAAATTTGGAATTCAACACTCAACCCTACACACACACATGTATTGCACATTTCCTATGGACTGCATTAGCTATGCATGCCTACCCTCCTCATCTGTTCACATGTCTCTGCTCAATTTGTTTTCACAGCAACACCATGATATAGGTGCTACTGTCTGCACATTTGACAAATGAGGGGTTACCTTGACCAAAGTTACTCTTCTAATGTAAATGGTAGAGCCAGAATTTGAAATCAAGCACTCTGACTCTGGGACAAAGCTTAAAATGATTTCATAATAGATACCAACCAACATTAGAATAATAATTTATATGATTATCTTGCACACAGAACACAGTGAAAAGGATATATAAACAAGTTTTCCTATCTTTTGGGGTTTTTCAAATTGTTATTGTCAAGGTGATGTACAGAAGGGTTACAATTATTTAAGATTCTTTCCCATTTTTATACCTTAACTAGGTATCATTGTTCTTCATATACAGGACCTAAACAAATATTGAGGGAATCTGAGGGCATACAGATGAAAGAATTCATGTATGTGAAATGCATATAGTAGTAACAAATGAAGATAATAGATAAATAAGAAATATTCTTTAAAGTCTCTATTTGCAGGATGAGAAGACTTTCTTATAATGGACAGCATGCCTGAATTATAACACAAGGTACATGCAGTATACATACATACATCTCAAGTTCAAATCTAAATGAACTGTTAGGCACAAATAAAACAGGCATAAAAAGCAGCATCAATCAAGAGTGATTTGTCTATCTGTTCATAGTTTTATTCACTTGATTATTCAGTTGTAGCAAAGGAATTCAGAGCAATTTAGAAAGAGACACTGGAATACAAAATGAAATCAATAAACTGCTTGATCACTGGGAATAAGGGGCATCCCAAGTTCCCTAGTGCCAAAGGCTGGGTGAACAGCAACTTGGAGGAGGACCAGAAGAAAGGACAGAAGCAGACAGAGTAGACTACAGTGCTTTGTAAGCCACAATGTGACGTGATCAGAACCATATATTAAAAAAAAAAAAATACTACAGCAAAATAGAGATGAAGCTGGTAAGAAAATGTGGTAGGGAGACAACAATAGAGGCTTCAGGTCAGTTCAGACAGGAGATGAGGAAATTAAGAACATACTCGATGATGAAAGGTAAGAGTGTAGACTTCAAGTGCTTCCTTAGGTAGAAGAGAGCAAAACGGTATCTCTACCAGAAATAGTGAATGTCCAGCTTGTAGGCCATATAAAGCCTATGAAATCATTTTGTGGCTGGGATGATGCATATGCTTTTTGTCTGCTGCCCACAGCCATCTGCCTGTATTTATCATTTTATATGACCCAGGAATGATATAAATATCCATATGGCTCTTGGCAGATGAAAAGTTCCCCACCCTACACCAATATTAAAGATCCATCATTTTGGGTGTGCCAGGTAAAGAAAAACACAGATAAAACAAAATTGGGCAAAATGAGACCACTATTGTAAAGCAAACTGGCTTTTGGTAAGAGAGGAAGGAAGTAAGAATACATATACTAATCTTTTTATAAAGACACAATGAGAATATACAAGGAGCAAATGAGACATTAAGGGAATGGATTGGATGAGGAAAGGTAAGAGAGAGAAGAGAGGAAATAGGAAAAAAAGGAAAAGAAGTGAAGCCAATACACTGAGAACTATACTACTCGAGGGAGTAGTTGTAATCATACCCAGTACAATTTGTGGATTTCTAATAGGTATGATTTGAAATAGTCACAACACTGTCAAGTACTTGTTAAAAGTTTGCAATGAACTGTCTTGGAAAAAGGTAGCCATAGTTTAAGAAAGAAATTCAAAGCCAAAGACAAAAATTCAGAGAGTAAAAACTGCCCCTTAATTATTACTGAAGAACAGAGCGGAAGTTAACACGTCAGAGAAATATAGATGCTTTAGAGGACATGGATACAAACCCAAACAACAGAGGGGGAAGAGATTACAACCTAGATAGGCTAGGGTGAAATGATCAGATAGATATATGTGGGTATGTGTGTGTGCACACACTGGTATTGGGTCTTGAACTCAGGGCCTAGTTGCTATCCCTTAGCTTTTAATATCAAGAATGGTTGGTACTCTACCACTCAAGACCCAGATCCATTTCTAACTTTTTATTTTTTTGTCAGTTATAGGGCTTGAACTCTGGGCCTGGGCACTGTCCCTCAGCTCTTCAGCTCAAGGCTGGCACTTTACCACTTGAGCCATAGTGCCACTTCCAGTTTTCTGGTGGTTAATTGCAGATAAGAGTCTCACAGACTTTCCCTGCCCAGGCTGGCTTTGAACCATGATCCTCAGATCTCAGCCTCCTGAGTAGCTAGGATTACAAGTGTGAAGCACAGGCATCCGGCTACTTCTAACTTTTTGCTGGGTTATTAGAGATAAGAACCTCATGGAATTTCCTGCCTGGGTTGACTTTAAACTGCAGTCCTCAGATCTTAGTGTCGTGAGTCACTAGGATTATAGGCATGAGCAGCTGGTGTCCAGTTCTTCTTATTTTAAAAAAAAGATAATTAAGAAGAGAATTTTTTTAAAGCCCGCAAATGAGTACTTTACATGACTGGACCCAATAAAGTAAATTGAGATGAAAGTAAATTGAACCCGCTACATTTTTTCAAGGAATCAAGGTCTTAAGTGTGGTAATACCTACTGTAAGTGTGAGTTCTTTGTGCCTTGCAGTAGCTCTACTGTCTGTCTCTTGGCACAGGAAACTTTGGAAGGACCAATCATCTGTTTCAAGTCACCAGCATTCCCAGAATGTGAAGGACTTCGAGGCATGCCGACTTCAACAAAAGCATCATTACAACCTTCAGGGGAGAGGAAGAAAGGAGAAAAATCTAAATATCACTTCACAATTGACAATGATCTGCAAAGGCAAAAACTCTACAAGATACTGTCAGCCTGACCCAGGCTAATGGCACTCAGCTGCAAAGAAGACAGAGACCTCACCAAATTCAGGCTGTCACAAAACCTCTGCTTGAAGAGAAGCCATTATGTCCAAGGGTACAGGGTTACAGAAAGATACTATACTTGGAGGGAGGTGAATACATCAAGAGAGAGAGAGACAGAGAGAGAGAGAGAGAAACACAGAGAGAGGAACAGAGAGAGAGAGAGATTTAGAAAGTCAGTGCTTTTCTGTTATATATATATGAATGCTTTCCTAGAGTAAGATCCAATGTTATGTGAATGTTCATGATTACTTGGCTGGCACTCTACCATTTGAGCCAAACCTCCAGTCCAGCATTTTTCTGGTTATTTTGGAGACAGAGACTTACAGACTTTTTAACTTGGGCTAGCCCCAACCTTTCATCTCTGGATCTCAGTCTCCTGATATGGAGGATTATAGGCCTGAGCCACTGGCACCCAGCATGGAAAAGTGCTTTGTAGTGGACCTTTTCACCATGTGTGTTGGAGTTTCATTGAAGACATTGTCCTTCCACACCCTTGAGGTAGGATGAGTCATGACTGGTCAGCGAACCAACTGAAAATCACTGCACAAACTACCCACAATTCCCCTTACCCAAGTTACAAACAAGAGCTGATGCACAAGAGGAGAGTTAATAGTTCCTGACCTTCTACAGGGTTTGACTTGGAAGAAGCCTGGTCAGTTCCAGTTGTCTGGATAGATGGATCACCATGATTTGCACTCAGCACTTTGTCTCCAAGTGATGAAGTGGATATTGCACCATATTTTATATTTGGAGACTGAAATTACAAAATGTAACATGCAAACATTAGTCATAACTACAATTGAGGGGATCATTTCTGGCAATGACTGAAACATGTTACAAGTAGCATATGTCTCCTAAGCTGTATAGATCACAGCTTTCGGTAGAAGGGCATTACCTGTGCATGTCCATTTAAAGAAGCAGAGATTTTTTTGCTTTCTGTCTGCATACTGTTGATATGGACATCGACAGGAGTCAAGCCAGGAGGGGGAGATGGAGCTGTGTGCCCATAGGTGGGTACTCCAGACAACAAAATATTGGTTAATGTGGCCTGGGCAGTAGACGGAATCATGAGGTGTGGTATGGCAGAGAAACCTGGGTAACATGTCATGAACACACATATTAGACAGGGAAAAACTCAGAAGAAACAACTGTTATTTTTAGTAACAATAAAAAATGGCATTACTGTTGAAGCAAATCCAGAATTCAACTTTGATATCTCTCTAGAGGTAAATGGGCTTAAAGGACTATAAAAACACAATTGAATGCTAGAATGAAACCCTTTCAACAATATTTAATCTAAATCCCCTGTGTTAGATGAGAAATCCAGTTAAATTAAGCTGTGCAGGATTAAGCAGAACCTGCATTTAAAAAAAGCAAAACAAAACTACCAAACCCAGCACCTGTATGCACCTTGCTATTGTCCCCTGCATGTCAAGCTCTTTTCTAATCTATTGGTCACGTTTCTGTTTGCATCAAAAGAACTCACTGCTATTCTGTGCTTTTCATCAAGGAATGTCTGTTTGCATGGAACATGCTCTGAATCACAATTTTTCCCTAAGGAAACTGAAGCATTTGTAAATTTTTATTTGAAAACTGGAAACACTTAATTCATGCTTTTGATTATATTAGAATGACACTGACCTGTGGCACTTGAAGTATTAGCAAGTGGGGGTGCCCACAATGTGGGGCTGGGGGTACCAGAACTTGGACTTTGCAAAGGACTGACTGAGCTGTTAAGAGCATTCAAGAGTGAGTTTGGGGTTGTTGAAGTGTTCAGTGATAACGTGGAAGGTCCCAAAAGACCTGTAATAAATTAAAGCAAAAGTCAGTGCAAATGCATTCTAGATTTTAAACTGGAAGTGACACCAGGATTGCCATTTGGAATGCACATCACTATAATTTGCTATTTTCTAAATATAACATATGGGTGACAGATTTTCCTCCTTTAAAATATTTACATGAAACATTTTTTATACCATCTCCAACACAAAGAAACACAAATAGATGTTAGAAGGAAGGAAAGACAGATATGTCTAAGCCAGAAGAGCAGTGCAGTGTCTCTGGGCCCTGTGCTGTACATCCAGGTCAACAAGCCAGGATGAACAAAATTCTACTCCAGTGGAGATTCATTTTTATTTCTCTCCATGACTTGTTCATCACCCGCTTCCAAATAGGTTCTTTTCAAACCTCTTTCCCTAGGCAGTGACTAGAGAATATCTTCCTGTGGCAGAATCAGATCTATTTGAGCCCTTTCTGGATAGGGTCCTACTCCACAGTCGTCACATGAATGTCTGAACACGTACATGAATCCTTTTGGTCCAACTTCATAAAAAAAACATTTTTGGAAATGTGGTACCTAGATACAATGGAATTTTACACAGCCTTTAGAAATAATAATATTAAATCATATGCAGGGAAATGGATGGACCTGGAACAAATCATTGTTAAGTGAGGTAAGCCAGGCTTAGAGAGATAAACAGTGCAGGTTTTCTCTGATCTGCAGAAGCTAGATCTAAAATACACTGTGACATGATAAATTACACAGGATTCTAGGTATTCATATATGGTGAGACTAAAGGAGGATACTCTTAGTGGGGGAACACAAAGATGCAAAGCCTATGTGCCTCTGATCATATAAAATAATATCTATCAAAACAAACACCAGGAAATGGAAATAACAAGCTTTTTCTTTTTTGTTTTATTTGGGAGGATGTGGATGGCACAGAAATGGAGGGACAAATGGTGAACAAATGCAGACACTACGTTGAAAATGAACAATACAACTTATGGGTAGGGGGAGGGAGGGAAAAACTGGGAGAGAGCTAGGGAAGGGGTGACATTGTCCAAAAAGAAATGTACTCATTACCTGACTTATATAACTGCAACCCCTCTGTACATCACCTTTGTAATAACAATAAAAATTAAAAAAATCATTTTGGGTTTTGTTTTAATCATTTGATGCTTTGGGCATTTAAGATACACTCTGAAATAAAATGGGCATTTGTATACATATATCCAGGAATATGTATAAAGCATTAAGTATTTCAAGATAGATAATCGTATGAAAATGTGTTTAAAATTTGATAACTTTTCAGCTTTTCTCACTTATTTCCTTACTGGTGCAGGATAAACTCGGTTCCTACTAAATCACCTAATAGGCATTTTCTAGTTCAATGGAATGTCAGTGTTATTCTGACTGTTCAGATGCCTATGGATAACTTCAGTAGAAATTATTCATTACTGTAATGGTGTCTGAGCATGACTACTTGGTCTTAGTCATGTTTTAATTTTATATATAGCATATTATATATATATATATATATATATATATATATATACATATTGAACATTATCTCCCAACAGGTATTAGGGAAAAAATAATATTGCTGAGAGTATTTTCTTTGTCTCAATCAGAAGATAAAGTAATTAGCTATATAACTGTCTTAGCTTTTTACACAAAACAGATGAGAAAGGAGAAAAAAAAAGCAGAATAACTTTCTGTGAGCATAACTAGGCTGAAACAACTAACCAGTCTCTAAGATCATGGCATGGATGAGGCCATGGATACCAGCATAACTGTTAGATGACTCTGCTTCCTTAACAGGCTAATGCATTCAGGTGATACTGCTTGTTCCTTGCTTTATACATAAATACATGTCCATTTGTTTCCCTTGGTGGCTGCAAACTAGTTTTCCTTTGTGTCTAGGCTTGGCAGGCCTAACCACTGAGGGTGGGGCTCAAATTGCTTTCACCTCCCTTTCTCCCCCAACCCACCAGACAGATTTGCAATTACTTTTCGAAAAGCAAACTGGATAATCTTTATCTCTAGGGGCCCATGGCAATATTGCAAATGCGAGAGAGAACAAACACATAAATTATAGTCAGCCTGCTCACTTCAATCTCAATGGCATTCTTAATTTAGGTGAACAAACACAGCCACTGAAAATAAAACAGTCAGACCTTGATTATTTATGCCACTGTAGGAAGAATCTGAATAACCAAAATCCTCAGAGCCTAACAGAAAACCCGAAATTGGTTCAAGCTTTGTTACTTTTCACCTGATCTTAAGACCTAAAGGAAGAAAAAAGGAAAAAAATAGCATTTAAATGGAGACCCCAAATAGTAGAAAGGGAACCAGATACACATTTCCCTTGTGACTGAGAATTGCTGTAATAATAAATTTTATACCTAGTCCAGTGAGTCCGAGGCCTGCTGAAGCTAAGATATCCAGGCTGGGACATGCCAGGCCGGCAGGGCACGATGCTGGGGATGGACTGGTTGCTATGGTAACCCCACTGCTTTCAAGTCCGAGGAGACATTTCCTTGCTTCATACATATTTAAGGCATTTCGCTCAACACTTTTCACAATCACAGACTATGAAAACACATAATGGAAGAAAAAAAAAAGGTGACATGCAAGCAGTCTACAATGAATGAGGGGTGAGGGAGGTGGGTGGAAAATGAAAATGCTAACGAGATTTCCACTCAGGGGATATTAATACTGCTCTGAAATCAACTGCAAATTCTAACCAATTATTTCCTTAAGTTTACTGCTATTAAATTATACAACGTTAGCTACCATCTATGGCATGTGCCCTGTGTTCCAGGCACAGTGATGGAAGCCATGTGAAGGTTCCAATGCTCTCCAGACCCTGATGGCATAGAAATCCTCATTCCTATTCAGGAAGCTAAGGGCTTTAGTTAAGGTCCCCACACAGCTGTGAATTGATAGCCAGGAGATGGGAACTCACCCTCTTCACAACTTCTCAGCTTTAAATTAATGCCCCACCCATCCCTCTCACCCTTTCAAACCAAATCAAACCTGTCACCAAATACAGATGCCATAATAGCAGTCACTTACATTTGACATTTATGGTTTATTAAGTAACTAATAGGCCTTGAGGTTCTACTAGCTGTACTGATGGCAAAGTTCCTGACACAGGAAAACAAAACAAAACACAACCTATTCCCCTTGATGGACTCGTGTAAAAAATTGGAAAACAAAAGAGGGAAGGCTCCAGTGGATAATAAATAAAATGTGTGGCTAAGGAAGCAGTTAAAGGACTAGTTAGCATCAGGACATCTGGGCACAATGAAGTGATCCAGGATACTACAAGATCTTAAAGTCTACATCTAAAATCTCTATTTCCCAAACATCTACTCATTTCCTTCAGAATCCATGGAACTCCTCTTGTGCCTATCCATCTTTATATGCACAAGGCCTTGATTCTCTATCCGTCCATATCTAGGACCCAGATTAGGAAAGCATGAGGTTTCATTATACATAATACTAATGTCCTGTTTTCAAACTTTAAACTCACAACCACTGGCTATCTTTTCCTTAAACATTTTTTTTCTTCACTGAAGTACGATTGGTTTTCTTCAGCTGGACAGTAAGTATCACAATACACAAATTATATGTAACATCATATAACATGAAAACCCTTCCATGTATACAATAAACTTCATTAGTTTATACATATAGCTTCAACTAGAATGTCTACAAGCAGGAAGTCAGTATTCTCTGTGACCAAACAGTTTCAAAAGTGACCATGCCAATGTTTACAATAATAATGTGGGAACATTCCTCTTTCCTTATATTCTCATTAGTAAGTAATGTCAGATATATCCTGTTAAATATCTAATATAAACATAATTTCAAGAATTTTGCAAACTCTAGAGAGGCTCTAAGAAGTCTGAACATTTGCATGAAAAAGAGAAGAGTGGGCAACCATCGTTTAGGTTGCTAGAACTAGAAAAATGGCTGGAAGATTCTCAATACTCTAAGGATCTCCTGAATTGTGCTAGATATAAACACACACACACAGACACACACACACACACACACACACACACACACACACACCAACACACACATACACACACCAAAAAAAAACCACATAAGAAGCCTTATGAACTCTCTGATAACTAAGTAAAATTTAAGTTACCAGGTTTCAAATTTAGACAAAAAAGTTTTCTTTCATACGTATTTGTATGAAAAATAATGGTTACTAATGTACAAAAATAATGGTTCCCCAAATCAATAAATCCATAAAGAAAATAATGATCAGTAGTGCATAATCTTATAAATTTATATAGATATAATTAAAGCTAAAATAGCATTTTTGTTCTATGTAAATGCAAATAAAGTGTTACATGCAAAATAAAGTTGCATAGAATATGAGCTTATATTTACTCTTTGGGTCTAGACTCTGAACCAACCTTGCTTGGCTGTTTTGGCTTTGGTTTAATACTAATGAAGACATCAAGCTGTTCCATCAGTTGAGCAATGAATTGTGGATCTACTTCAATTTCTTCCTTCATATCAAACATCAAGACAAGAGGAAGACAGCCCTAGAAAGAGTCACAGTAGAATGGGTAAGAATTCAACATTCCAGGCCCTGATATTTGAGCATGCTTACAAATTCAGTCTTTTTTTCATATTTGAAGAGAGAATGAAAGTACTAAAGCTAAATTATACACCTTTACTTAGCATGGAAGGCTAGCGTAGGAGTAATGCTGAGGGAGAGGAATTATTTGGGTATAAAAATTGTGTATCTCAAGTTTCTGGTTTTGGCCTTAAATTTTTTTAACCCATTCTTCACCTTGGAAAATTCCAGTCTCTCAACTTGATTTTGTGAGTGGAAAGGAGATTCTGGGCCACAGGAAGGGCACTAATCTTGTGCCTTTGTTCAACGACTTACAGTTTGGCTTTTTCCTTGTGTCCCCAAGTAAAGCTAAACATCTATGGGTGTTTAAATAGCTTCACAATTTGGCCCCACTTTGCTCATACCACCAAAGTTCTGTATCTAAGCCTGCTCCTTCCTTGAGGACAGCCTCTCATTATCCTTTAAAGTGATCCTGCATTTCTGTTACCTGAACTCATCAGCCGCTCCTTCACCAACCCAACTACTATTGACCTTCTACTGCAACTCAAGCCATACCCCTTCTTGGAATTAACTGTTACTATTATACCTTCTTTAACTACCCCCTTTTTGACAACTGCAGTTTAGATGTTCTTTTTAAAAAAAAATTATCTCTGATGCTTTCTTCTTGCTCCCTAGAGAGCATAGAAGCCATCAAGTATGCTTTCTCTGATGCACAACATAGTCAGTTGATAGATTTTATACAAATGTATCAGAAATTAATGCTCAATATACTAGGATTAAAATGAAATATTGTGCACCACTTCACTTGTAGACAACAGTGATTTTTTAAGGAAAAGTATTATATGTATAAGTGATTACATTATAAGCACAAATCTTTTAATGTATCCCTCCTTTCTGTGCAATAACAATATGTCTCACAGCAAGCCTATATTTTTAGCAGTTGCAGTCAAAGTATGAGAGTAAACATATAACTGTACAGAATACTTGAAAAAGTTCATTAGACTCAACATGAAAAGAAAAATATACCGAGTAATTATACAATTATTGGATATGAATATGTTGCCTGTATGGTAGTATATTAAAAATAACTTGATAAAATAACTTGGCCAAAAAGAGAAAAACACAATTTTCTTAAAATCATATAATTATATATATATATATATATATACATATATATATATATATCATAAACCTGAATGATTATGACATTTTTATCTGTCAAGAGAACAGATTTTCTGAAATTTTTCTTAAAAATAATTAAGTTAATAGCAAAGGTCACATCTGACACTTCTACTGATCTTATTGTTAAGATCAAGAGAATACAGTGGTAGTGGTGTTTCTCTTTTTGGGAGACCAGGGACATGTAGGCTGTCACCATATAGGCCTAGCTGGCCTCAAATTCCATCTGCTGGAGTTACAGGAATGTGTCATCACACTCAGCTACAGTGGTAACTTTTATATTTGCAAGCCCAGCATTAGGTGTATTCTGTTACTGTATATTGCACTCAACTACAGTGGTAACTTGTATTTGCAAACCCAGCATTAGGTCTATTCTGTTACTGTATATCAAGCTACCCACTGGGGTTTTAAATTAATATAGGAAGGAAAGAAATATTATAAATTATAAATTAGAAGCAGTGTTGAATCATAATGTTTTTGTCAATAAGTAACACTTAAATTCATGGCTTAATGTAGAAATGCTTCATACCAACAAAAGTTATGTCTGTGAAGATGGAATTTATTTTCTTTGCAATTAGCACATATTCGTTATTCTAATAATGTACATCACTATGACATTTTCAGATGCACATCTAAGATATTTTGATTATATCCATCTGAGGATGGAATTTAAACAGTATTTTTGTTTTTCTGTTTAAACAAAAGCCCTGCAGCCAAGTGCAAACTTCACACTCATGCCAGAGGTCAGACAAAAAAATACAAAGCTTCAAAAACCAGTCATTTATTTCATTATAACCCCATTTAGAAAATTAGTCACCTATGCAATAAAATTCAGCAAACTATGAACCTTACTATATTTATTTCCACACATTAAAGAAACTTTCCTATTTAACCAGCCTTCTAAAGTGCTTTCTTAAATATCACATAGTACAATGCAATGTCTTTTAAAGTTAAATTAAAAAGTACAGTACTCATTTCAGTGATCTTACCATGAGATATTGCCTTGCGAGACAGACAGACTCAATGGTGCCCTGGAGGTAGACAGTGGATTTCTTCTGTGGGTTACTGGGATCAGGAAAGTGGATCTGAGCACCCGTTCTCTGCATGATATGTTTGATGTTGCTCCCATTTCGACCCATCATAAAGAGATGATGCTGAGCTGCAATATCTAGCTGCGTGCTCACAGGAATAGCTGATGCTAAACTCCCAGCAAGATGTTCCAATAGCATGGCAGTTCCTTCCTAGCAGAGAAGAGTGGAAGGAATATAATACTGTAAAATATGACTGTCCATATACGGAGAAATGATCTACTACAATTCTCAGAGCTAGGGAAAATGCAGTATATTCTATTAACCCCAAAATTATGAAAAACAAATATCCTTAAAAATAAACCTTCAGTGGTTTCACACATATCAACCTAGGGAATTGTCTACATCATTTACCTTCACAGCACTAGTGTTATTCTGAGATCCTCGTACTATGACAGTAGCACCATACATTCGGGAACGCTGTTTAAATGATACTGAAATGTTGTACGTTTGTGATATGTGCTGAATGGACGGGGAATTAGGGTCAGGAACTGGTTGAAGAATTCCAGCAATTGGCAATTCAAACATCAGCACCAATGGAAGCAGCTCCTAAAACAAAATTATGAGAACCCAAAAGCATTAGTTCAAGCATTATACATGTAGAGATGGATACATTTTATTTATTCTTTCCTGAAGATAGATTTTTAAACTGTTCTATGGGATACCTAATCTTCAGCAAACTCATATCTCAGTAAGCTCAGATGAATCTGGGGCATTTGTTGACGAGTTTCTATTTGATCACATAAAACTCAGGAAAGGCTGGGCACCTAGCTACTCGGGTGGATGAGATCTGAGGATCATGATTCAAAGACAGCCCTGGTAAGAATGCTGTGACACTCTTATCTCCAATTAACCACCAAAAAGCTGAGTGGAGCTCTGGCTTAAGTGGTGGAGCAGAAAAGCTCAGGGACAGAGCTCAGGCTTTGTGTTCAAGCCTCAAGACCAACATGACAAAAAAAAAAGTCTGCTAAGATACTGAGTAAGATGAAACCCACAATGTTTCTAAGAAATGACTGCAACAGAAAAACATTTTATAAATAACACAGAATCTCATTTTAAAATGCTGACTATAAAATACCTATAATAAATGTTTAAAAATGGACATGAAAACAACTTTGGCCAGGATATTTTAATGCCTTAATATGACTTTGCTAACACTGGTTTGAAATATTCAAATAATATATAGTTACCCGAATTCTAACTCGGGCAGATTCAACACCTGCTGGTTGTCCTGCTATAGATACCTGTGAAAGAAAGAAAATACAGTTAGGTTTTTTTAATCAAACTCACATCTACTTTTCTAGTTATCTTCTACATTGTTAATAAAAGGAGAGTCCAAGGAAAGAGACATCTTCATTATTTGGGAGCCCCTTAAAGATGAAGAACCTCAGATCTGATTAAAGCAGACCTGATTAAGCCCAGAGCTGACTAACCAGAATTTGCATTTTAATGAGATCCTCAGGTGTCTTATACCAACAGAACCACATCACTCCTACGATTTGCCTAAAGCTCCTTAGGCCCCAGGAGGCCCTCTTTCCCAGTTAAGAGGGCTATAGAACACCAACCCTGCCCAGTTTTTTTCAGTACTATGTAATAATGTCACACAGTACTCCCATATTTTTGGCAATTATTCTTATTTTTAGCATTTTTGTTTCTCTTTGTTTAAACTCTTTTCAGAACAGGTATACATCAATATGCAATGATATGCTGTACTATATTCTCAAAATATCTACATAATCATTACTCCAAAACCCATGTCCTCCATCTTTCTCCTGGTATACCTTGAGCCTTCTCACAACTTGTCATATATAACATTAGTCTCTGACTGGGGTGGGGTGCAGTAGTTCCAGATTGCAGCTCTCTCTTAGGACTAAGAGGCCATGACAGAGAAGCCGTTAGATACTTGAACATGGCTCTTGGCTTTAATTGTGGTTTCCTAGCTATTCTGCATCCCAACTTCACTATTAAGACCTGTAGAGAAAAGACTATCACAATGGTCAATAGTTTCTAGTGTCACGATTTGGTTTAGAACACTTCAGAATACTACCTGTTCTTCAAGTATTGAAAATGTTTATATGTAGACAAATGTGTTCCAAGAGATAAACCAGAAAAAGTATCATAAACTAGAGAGACAGCAGTCAGTCACTGTGAGGAGGCAGTGTACTCAGAGATGACCTGGCATATCCTGAACTACTATCGAGGGCCTGCCTGGCACACAGCATCAGGTCTCAGCCTTTGTTGCAGGGCTTGATTTTCTGATCATCACATCCTCTCTTCATTTCTACCAACCAAGTGTGGATAAACATGGTGAGGCCCTAAATGTAATTCATCCTCAAAACCCACAGCACCTTCAGTCTTGGCAGAGGTTACTGTAAACGGTTACTGTTTTGCACTCGTTCCTCAAAGATACACATACTGAAAATTACGCTGAAATTCAGTCCTCAAAAGATCTCATGGAAAGATGAAGCACCTGGTTACTTTTTTCTGCTTGGTTGTTCCTGTTGGAATCTGGGAAGTGGATGTGGCATCCGGTTTCTTCCATCACTTTTTTAATGTTGTTGCCTCCTTTACCGATGACATGTGAATGCTCTGTATGTGATACATCCATCTTCAATGTGACCCGGTTGCTCTATGTGGAAATAATGGTGTTATTTCTTGATGCATGAAAAAAGGAAAGAACAACTCCCTGAACACTCCATCCTGAATGTTCCAGACTATTAACAAAAAGGGACCGAGTGGGAAATCTTACATATTTCTTTATAATCTCAGTGTTACATGTCCACTTGGTTATTTAAAAATATTTTCATTTTAAGACAAATAAGTTAGAACAAAATAGATGAATATTATTTACTACAATAACTTCTTGGAAAGTAGACTTTAAATGAAGTCAGCTACACTAACAAATAAATTACTTGTTTTTTTCTTTAAAGACATTATTCATGGAACATTTAATCTAAATAACTAAGAACAGATGAAAACACACTTATAAGGGATAGGCATATTAGAGGCTTCTGGAACTACAATGATGGAAAATTAGAAGAAAAATAAAGTCTAAATGAATAAGGAAGCCTTCACAGGCATTTCTAAGTCTGATATATTCAGAAGGTAATGTTAATCTATGTGGAACTTTAGCAAATAGATTTGTTTCTGCTGAGAGAAAGTAGAAAGAGGAAGAATCATAAAATCACAGATCCCTGCTAGTGCAATGTCTTCATTAAATAAAGAAAAATGTAAAATATCAAAGACTTGAACAAAAGCACCAGGGTCATATTGAAATCTATGTAGTAAATTTAGGGGAATTCAGTGTACAACTATAAAAAAAACTTTTTTTCAATTTTCAACAGTGGCTACCAAGTAAAATTCAAAATGGTTAAAAAAAAGCACACACATCAATAGTCTTAACTCTCTGAAACCTTAAATTTCAATGTAACCCTCTTAAATATTTTGATTTTTAAACATAATTCTTTCATTTTAGTCTTTAGAGTTTGGTAAAATGTCCCTCTTTGGGAGAAAATTCTAAAATGTTTAATAATTATAAAGTGAATAATTTTAAAAAATTAAAAAGAACAATAAAACAGAAGGGATAAAAGAAAGGGGAAAATCAGTGATCATTCCAATGAAATAGCCAGTGGCAAAACCAATTAAGCAGTCAATCATTCAATATAGTTAAAAACCAGACAGCCTGAATTTAAACCACACCCTCAAATACCAGCTCAGAGATCCTGAACACATTATTTAATCTCTTACACTTTAGTATCTATAAAGTGTAAAGTGATTAGCAAAGTACCTGCCATATGATAAATGTTTTAGATGTGACTAACGAAATTAAACTCTCACCAATGAGAACAAACTCTCAGGTATTTGACTTTCCTTGTTATCTCTACATATATTGGAATTAAGAGTTGGAGAAAACAACTGTGCAAGAGCAAGCAGGGACTTTGTGCCATCACACACAGGACAGAGAGAAGATCAATATGGTTTTCTGTTGACACATCTTTATTACTCACCCTATACTAATCAGGGCAATATCTACGTCTGAACATGTGTGTGTGTGTGCGTGTATATCATCTATAGATACATATACATATATCCACATACATATGTGTGTGCATGCACTTACCTTACATGAGAGAATCAATTCAAAAATTGAGAGTCTGTAAGTACCAAAGAATCATGTGCATATTTTAAGTCACAACATTACCTCTTCCTGTTTGTCATTTCTCTAAACAGTTCTTTCATAATGCCATGAAGTAACTTTTGCAGCGGCAAGGTTCTGAGTGTCCTTAATATTCACTTACTTTTGTGTCTAGGACAGACATGATCATCTCCTTGGCTTCTTTAACATCTTCTTTCTTTCCAGAAACCTTAATATGGGGATCTATAAGAAATGAGAAGGCTGAGTTGAAACTCTCGTAATTCCCCAAAGTCTGTTTTAAAATGGATATCACATCCGGAGCTGTTAGTTTAGGCCTGAAATCCTACCTACTCAGAGGCTGAGATCAAGAGGATCACAGTTAAAAGCCAGCCTGGAAAGAAAAGTCTAAGACTCCAATTAACCGGGGTTTGGGGAGTGGTGTGTGTGTGTGGGGGGAGGGGGGTGTTCAAGTGGTAGAATGACAGCCAAATGAGTAAAGGTTTTTATTTCAAATCATGATATCACCCCTCAAAACTGTGTGTGTGTGTATAACTGTTATGATTGAAGAAAATAGATTCTACCATATAATGAGTTTGTTTTATTGTAGGTCTGTTATTATTGTAGTTTCATATGAAAAAATTACTCAAATTGTGCATTTATCTGTGGCTATTTTTACATCTGAAGAGTGGCAGAGCCATTTAATTTTATTTTTGCAAAGTATATAATTGTAAAATAAGGGTCTAATTATTTACATATTTATTAATGTGACTTATTTACTAATTTTTGCTACATTCCAGATTCTGCTTCTTGAGGTATTGTTTTTTTTTCTAAACAGAGAAAATCAATCACAAGGGAGTTTAGTAACCTGCCCAAGAAACTGCTCAGAGAGTTGGTTATTGTAATGTAATGTCTTAAATCTCTGACCCATGCTTATAAACGGTGATGATTTGGAAAACATCATTACGAGTTAGGATTAATGGGGGAGAAATCTTTAAATTTCCCTCAGGAATAGTTAATATTTGTGCAGAATTCATATCCAGACTACTATCTAACATTTCTGTTGTTTGTTATTGAATCTTACATAGCAGAACATCTACTCATTCAACAGATATGTGCTGATTAATGTGTGTACCAGACATGGCCCTATGTGGTTAGTCTGTCATGGATAAAAAAAGACCTCTGGACAAATACATATAATATTGTTCAGGGGGACAAGAAATCAAATTACTTCATATATTAAAATATAAGTGTTGCAAAAAGGAAGGAAAAGGAAAGCAAGACAAAGGGATCAGGACAGCCTCTGGGGAAGGGAAGTAGAGGACTAAACGTGCAAGGTGAATAAATCACAGCTGTTTGTAGCAGCTAGAACCTTCTAGTGAAGCAGACAGCAGAGCAAAGTACCAGGGGGAGGGATACACCTTTCCAGTTTCCTTATCAGGATTCTAGTCCTCCAGGAGTCTGAGGGTTCTGTTTATAAATCAGAAGATAATTCTCAACTTATTGGCCTTAATGATAGGCTGAGCATTATGGTTTGTCACATCGTTGGGAATCCCAAACTCTTGATACCTACAATATACTGACTTTTCAGCTAAGTTCTTATGTCCTGTATAGAAGTGACAGGATCAGCCAAGAACTGGTGGCTCCTGCTGTAATCCTAACTACTCAGGAACCTGAGATCTGAGGATCAAGGTTCAAAGCCGGCTGGATAGGAAATCTCCAGTTAATCATTAAGAAGCCAGAAATGGAGCTGTGGCTCAAATGGTAGAGTGCTATCCGTGAGCTAAAAAAAAAAAAGCTCAGGGACTTGAGTTCAACACACCCCTTCCCTCCTCCTCCCTACCCCACTCCCCAAGAGACAGAATCAGTGGATGTTAACTGTCCGGGCCCTTTAAGTCTTCAAAAGCATTCATTCTCTAGGAGAAGGAACCAGAATCCCCACCAGCATGGGGCTTTTCTCCAAGCCACACATATTTCCCCTGACACTGTGATATCCTCATTGCCACCTCACAGTCCAGTACCACTTGGAACATGTCATATGCTTAAGGCATAACTGGGCAATGAGAGGGATGGGGAAGGGGATGAAGAGGGAGATCAGGTTTCCTTAAAGTTACCCACTCATGGTGCTGAGATGGTGAAATCACAGCTTCTGCTCTGGCCTTTTTGGGGGGGAAGGGAGGGCGGGGAGACATCCCAGCAGCTGTGCTTAATTTGAGTCAGTGCCATCAGCTCCATCCCTGCCCTGCCCTGCTCATGGCTCCAGGCATTTCTCTTCATCCTGTTTTTACATCCTTCCTCTGACACTTGCCCTGTCACAGGAACATAGTAAACATCAAAGGCCTTAAGAGTGTTCAGAACTTTCAAAATGTTAAATATCAGGTGCTGGGTGTCCAGGCACAGGGATGTCCAGACACTGCTGCAGGCACGGCCCACTCTCTTTTGCTCTTTGATTTGCCAGCTAACATTACTGCACTTCTGTAATTCTTAAGAGGATCTTTCCAGCCCCTCCTGAGGTATTTATACAAAGAGCTGTCTATATCCAAAATTACAGGCCCACCTGTCTTCACCTTTGGTTTGTGCTTCTCTGGCTGATAATTTACTCTGAACATGTTCACTTCCATCAGGGTGGAGAGAACCCAGTGTTCTTCAAAACACACCTGAAGATCAGATTCACTGCAGTACTTGCTATACCACAGGTTCCTGGACAGTCTGAAATAAATCAGCCTTTTATTGCCCAACCCCTTTCAGAATTAGATACTTGGTGGTACAGACGTTTGAACTCAGGGCCTAGAGTTTGTTAGGCAAGTACCCTAAGCCATACTCTTAGCCCTTTTTTGCTTTAGTTATTTTTCAAATGGAGTCTCAAGTTTTTGCCCAGGGCCTGCCTTACACCATTATTCTCCCACCTATAACTCAAGTAGCTGGAATTACAGCCATAATCACTACTGCCAGCCTATCTGTTGATATGGTGTTTCACAATGTTTTTGTGTGGGTTGGCATCCAACCACAATCCTCCAGATAGCTACTATCTTTAAATAAAAGATAAAATAAAAAAAAAAACCAGAGTATTAAGCCACATGAGATTTACATACTGAATGCATACAACAAAAGCTTCCACTGGATATAAAAGGATTTTTCTTGTACACAAATAAAATGTGTATTCTGAATGATACAGTAACTTATTGTTCAGGTCAGGCAACCGCATTAAAATTCCTATACATCAGAGATACAGAGACACACACACACAAAGAGAGAGAGGGAGAGAGGGAGAAAGAGAGTGAGAGAGGAAGCCTCTGTTCTAATAAGGAAGAATTTGATTATCTACCATCTCAGCATCAACAAAACAATAAGAAAAACAAAGCCAAAGCCTCAACAGAACATGCTTTATTTCAAAGTGAAAGAGCACCATCTAGTGACCACAGCATAAATTACCAATGAACACAGAGACAACAGGGCACACACATGCAGTTGCCAACATGACACTGTCTCCAGCAACTGAATCTATGCTGTTTTTGAAGAGGTTCTTCAAATCAAGGTAATCAAATTCAATGAATATTAAACATGACACTCTAATTTAGACTCTAATTTAGACTGTTAAGAGGGTTAATGGTGCCATATTTCTCCTTCACTTTTACCCTCACTTAGAAGACATACATAGAATATGTGCTTTTATTCCAAGTTGAACTTGACTGTACTCAGCTTACAGTCTAGAGCCTTAAGGAATTCATGTTTAATTCAGACTCACTCTGATAATATTTCACAGGAAAAAAAAGAAGTCAAAGTACCAACCACACTAACCAATACAAAAATGAACAGGTCTGGCAGAAACTGTTCAATGATGATTAGAGTCATGGGAAATAAGAGTATATCTTCCCTTCTCCAAAATGAATTGCTTTGAAAGAGAACTCTAATTTAGACATAAAAGTTTAGAGATGTTGATGGTGAAAAATAATCTTCATTACTTTATAACCAATTTGGACACAGTGATCATTCCTTGGTTTTATAACAGCCCAGTGAACTTGGACATTCAACACAGACATTACTGACCACACCCACACCGAGGGCAAGGCTCCCTGCCAAAGGAGGACACAGAAATCTATAGAAGAGGCTAAGCTGCCATGCCCAGGTGACGATCTGCCCTGAACATCCCCAAATTCCAACACTCATCTTAGTACCTATACAAAGACCTAGAGAACTGTCAAATAATATGCATGCAGATGTTTAGGTTTTAGATTCCTTTCCCACCCAGCTGCTCTCATCAATCTGGTGCCAACCCAGAAAAGAAAGACCACCATATTGCAACTCGGCCTTCACAAAGTCCATGAGGTGACATAAATGATGTGACATACAGTGGACATTTAACATTTGTAGACTGCAAGGAGAAGAGGAAATGGGCCTTTTTAGAAAAGCTAAACATTTCACAAAAAGGTTCTTATGACTTCTATCTGGAAATTCATAAGGGTTTGTTAAGGCAACAAGCATTTTCACAAGAATACCTGCTTGAAAACCGTACTTTCAACAAAAATATATTTGAAAGAGTTGAGATGGTCTCATAAACTCAAGTGAACTCTAGCTATGGTTTAAAAAGAATGACCTCATGGTACTCGCTGGTTTTCCTTCCTTGGAGACATTCATGTATATTTTATCAACTTCCTTTACCCCTCAAGACTATGGCCCTTCCTCTTCACCCCAATGCCACAGCCAACCCTACAGAAAATATTTATATCGACCATCACTGTATCTAGTGTCACAAGATGTATTTAGGCCTTTAATCTTTCACCAGTAATCTGTCCGTAGCTACTCTCCTGTCTCCACAATTGAGTGCTGTGGAGCAGAATCTTCAGCTTCCCAAATTCACATTCTTTTTTTTCTCAGCATGTTCCTGAGGGCTTTAGCTCTGTGACTGTCTGGGTCCCAAGGACATCCACTGGGGCAAGGGTCTGTCGGAAGAGGTCGGTGTGGACAGGGAGAGGTGCCACAGCTTGATCTCTGCAGTTGTAGCCAAACAGTTCTCATACGATAATGGCCCATTGTTTGTCATCAAGTGGACCATCCCTTAGCTGAAATGCTTGAAACCAGTAGCATTTCTTCTTTCTTTTCTTCTAAAGGTTTTTTAAATGTTTGCATAGATATAATAAGACTTCATGGGAAAGGGAACCAAGGTGACATCTAAAGCTTATTTATGTTCAAATACATCTACAAATGGCCACAGGTGGTTGTGATGCTATTGTTGGAACACCATACCT